TAAAATATATATTTGTGTGTATTATCTATTATGCGCATTAGTCATTCAAATAAAATTTTTTTTTCAATATTTTTTATTTTTTTATCATCTCTTCAATTGTTTACCCAAACAATTTTTAATAATAAGGAATTCCATTGTTTATGTTTTTAAATTCTATTTTTAGTAAATTAAAAAAAATTTTTATGTCCAATTAAAATTATTGTTTTTTTAAATAAAAGATCAAAGAAAATTTTTTTCAAAATTTATAAAAAAATTAATCCGCCGAATTTATTGTAGTAAATTTATATTTGAGTAATGCTGAATTTATATTTTAAATAAAAATAATTTTATAGTAAAAAAGAATATTTTTAATTGGTACAGCCTAAGTAGGCGCGCGGACATTACGGCTCAAAGCCATAACTTGCTTCAAGATTTTCGAATCAACAAATTTAGTAACGATTCCTCTATCGAGCTAAAGAGATTGGTACCAAAATTGATAAGAGCCAGAAATTTGCCAGCAAGTTATGGCTTTGCGGCGATATGGCCGCGCGCCTACTTGGTTTTGTCCCTTTTTAATTATTTTTAAACATTAATTAATACAATAAAAATTATCATTCTTCTACTTTAATTCAAAATTTTAATTTTCGCATTTTTGGCATTATGTTTCTTTTTGCGTTTTATTCAAAAATTAATTATTTTTTGATTTTATTAAAATTTAATTATCCCCATGCTCTTTTGTTTTCTAATTTTATAAAAGTAGTTTCTTTTTATTATTTTCTTTTATCCCTCTGTTTTAGATGAAATAATTTTTGTAAATATTTATTGCCTTTAAAAATAAATTAAAAAATAACTACCTACTTTTAATTAAACAAAAAATGGATTCAACAACAACTACCCCAACTTCGTTATTTAAAAACAACAAAATGTTAAGCACAATTTTGCCTATTTTGGCTAGCACAACTGTAGCTTTAACTTTGGAAGAATTTAAGGTAAATGATTGTTTAAAGAAATTAATTTTAAATTAATTTTTAGAGTAAATTTTTGTGGGTAATTATTGCTGGATTTGTAACTTCTTTTCTTCTTGGATTTGGAATGGGGTCTAATGATGTAGCTAATGCTTTTGGAACTTCTGTTGGATCTAAAGTTTTGACATTAAAACAAGCAAATGTTTGTGGATTTTTTTGATTATTTTAAATTTATTTCTAAAGATAATGGCAACTTTAATGGAAACTGCTGGGGCAGCACTTGTTGGTGAGTTTGTTGTCTTGTTTTGTTAACAAAAATTTTGAAAAAATAAAAATTGGGCCAACCAAAAAATTCTTTTTTAATTAATTTCCCCCTCTTTTATCAAATAAAGGTTACAATGTGGTAGACACTGTCCGTAAAAGTATTGTCGAGATAAGCCTCTATCAAGACCAACCAGAAATTTTACTTGTTGGGCAAGTTGCCATACTTGGCGGTTGTAGTTGTTGGTTGGTACTTGCAACATTATTTCGTCTTCCAGTCTCTTCTACTCATTCAATTGTTGGCTCTACTCTCGGTTTCACTTTATTAATGAAAGGAAATGATGGAATACATTGGAGGTTTTTTTGAAAATTTTTTTAGAAAATTTAATTTTTTTAAAGTACTGTTGGGAAAATAGCCATTTCTTGGTTTGTTTCTCCCATTCTTTCTGGAATTATTTCTTCCTCTATTTATATGTGTGTTGATTTTGCTGTACTGAGAAGAGTAAAAAAATCTGTGGTTTTTTTTAATTTATTTTCTAATTTTTAAGAAAAATCCATTTGAATGTGGACTTCGTGTATTGCCTTTATTTTATTTTCTTTGCTTTTCGTTTTACACATTTATGGTTCTCTTTGAGGGTTCCAAAGTTCTTCATCTTCAAAATATTCCTTTTTGGATAACTTTAATGATTAGCTTTACTGTTGGATTTATTGCATCACTCAGCTATTTAATTATTATCCGTCCAAGAGTTATAAAATGGTCACTCGGTAAATTTTTGTAAAATTTTTTTTAATTTAAATAAATTTCTTAGAATTGGATAAAGAAGAGAATTCTCAAAATAAAAAGTCTAACGAATTAAAAATGGCGACAATTCATCCAATTTCTATTACTGGAACAAATGAAGGAATTTCTAATGGAGTTATTGAGAAACAACAAAAAGTGGATAATGATCGTTTTCAACCTTTTGAATTTTGTTAGTTTTTGACTTTAGTTAATTTAAAGAAATTAGAGGTTCCCGAGAAAATAATAAAATTTTAATTCCCATAATTCTCTCTCTTTTAGGAAATATATTAGTTATGGAGGGAGAGGGAGGAGATGCAGGCCCGTAGCCAGAAGTAATTCCCCCCATCCTCGAAATGGAGACAAGGAAAAAAATTTGAGAGAGACTGAGGAAAGAAGTGAATTTTTTGCCTACAGCCTTCTAAAAATTCCCCCCTCCCCCTTGGCCCCTCCGAAAAAATCCTTCCTGGAAGAATGCTATTATGATAATCTAGAATTCTTTGGGAACTCCTCATTTAACCTCCTCAACTTAAAAAATATTTTTAGCTCCAAAAGGAATCCTGCGTTGGTTTATTCCGAGACGTGATCGTAAAGAAGATCAACGAACTCTTCGTCTTTTTAGTATTATACAAGTAAAAGAAAATATTTTATTTTTTAAATATTTAATTAATATTTTTTGTAGGTAGTTACTGGATGTTTTGCTGGCTTTTCCCATGGAGTAAATAATTATTTTTAATTATTATTTTTTTTAATTTTAGGCAAGCGATGTTAGCCACACAATTGCTCCTCTTGTATGTTTTAAATATTTTGTTAAATAATTATTTTTATTTAAAAAAGGTTGCAATGTTGTCAATTTACAATACGAGGTCTGTCTTTCAAGAAGGGGATACTCCCCTTTGGATGATGTTTTATGGAGTTTCGGGAACTTGTTTGGGGTTTTGGTTGCTTGGACAGAGAGGTAGAAATTTTTTGAAAATAAAATTATAATTTTATTTTTTTTAAAAATAGTTATGGCTACAATTGGAAAAAAAATTACAGAAATAAATCCTTGCAAGTAAAAGAGAATATTTTAATTTTTAAAAATATTTTTTAAAATTTCAGTGGTTTTGCTATCGAATTTGGAATGGCAATAACAGTTCTCTGTGCAAGTAAATTAGGTATTCCAATTTCGACAACTCATTGTTTGGTAATTTTTTTTTGAGAAAATTAATTTTAAAAAAAATTATTTTTTAAAGGTTGGAAGTGTAATGTTTGTTGGATTAATAAAAGCTGGGGAGGGGGTAGATTGGAAAGTTTTGATAAATGTAGCTCTTTCTTGGGTTGTTACATTGCCAGCTTCAGCACTTTTTTCTGCAGGGATTATGTTTGTGCTATATACATTTTTTGTGAAATAATCAAAGAAAGAAAATAATAAAATTAATTATTCTCCATTAATTTCCTAAAAAATAATTTTTTCCTTGTCATTTGATCTTTCTTTTATGTGAAATTTGGCTGCAATTCTTACTTATTTTTTTGTGTCGTTGTAAAATAATATATTTATAAATTGCTTTAAATAAAAAAAATAATTTTAACTACATAAAAAGGGAGAATATTTTTAATGGGTTTACATTATTTTAGTTTGACTATTTTTAAATATAGAGAGATTTTTTTAATTCTGTCTTCAACTTTAATCTTGTGACATATTTTGTTCAAAGATTAATGTCTGCAACGGATATTTTAAATTTATCTTTTATCAATTAGCACGTGAAATAATCTTTTTTTTTAATTTTTATTAATTACACTACTAAATTTGAAACTTCTTTGCAAAACTATTTTTGCTTTTTTATATATTTTGATCAGTCAAAGTATCCCTTCTTGCTTTTTCTTTTAGCTTTTTGGTGGCTTGGCTAAAGTGGCTGTTCCTCGCTCTGTCATTCAATATTTTTGGGGCTAGTTGAGGTAGTCAATTGAATTGAATGAGGAAAGAAATAGCTAACAAAAAGCAAAATACACAATATAATTTCAAGTGGGTACATTGTCATCTTCTTTCTAATTTATCACTTCTTTGTGACAAAATCTCTTCCAATCAGTTGACAATTTAAATTAAATTTTTTTCCAAAATAAAATAAAATTTCTAAATTCCGAAATAAACTTCTAAATTATTCACAGTTTTGAAGCTATCTACATAATTCTCAAAATTCTTACAAATTTTTCCAAGCTACCTGCTTCATCTACCACGTCCCTAATTTATTTTTTGTTGCTAGTTTCTTCTAAATTCTTTCAAAATCCATAACACAATTTACTGATTTCTAATAAGATCAATAGTATTTAGCTTTATCCTTCTTTACCAATCCACACACCCAAACATCTTCAAAAATCGCTCACTTTTGTTATTTTTCTATTTATCTTTACCACTGATTGAAGCTATAATTTCTTAGTCTTTTCACCCTCATTTTATAACTTCTGTTATTAGAAAAAGCAGCTTCCAACTACTCATTTTGTTTTGATTTTCTTATAGAAAAATAAAGTACTCTCAAATATTTTTTCCCATTTACCTATAACCCTTTTTTCTCTCATTTGGACTTTTTAAAATTGTTTATCCTATGATATTTCGAAGGTGACACATCCCCGTACCTTGTGCTTAAATCTCGAAAATTCTGTCAATATAGCACGACAAATCCTATAATTTAAATGAGTCACGTTTTAACAAATAAATTTTAAAATAAAACATAAGTTCAATTTTCAAACAATAATAATAATAATTTTGCCCAATTCAAAGAGTCTTTGATTTTTTATAACTATTTTTCAAATTCTAGTACATATAATATATTTTCCATCTCCAAATGGATCTTCGTCCACCCGATGAGAATGGCGTCGGCGGTGGTTCATCATCGGGAGGTATTGGTGCTGTACGTGAAAGAGATGATGGTTCTCTTTCCTCTTCAGCACCATCAGCCTTCAATGGCTTCCATCAATTTCAACAAAAACAGGCAAATAATGAAGGTGTTTTTAAATTACGAATTTCTTAGGAAGAACAAATGAGACGAACTACTAGCGGAGGGGCTTTTCCTTACGACCAACAGGATAATGAAAATAAGGATTCATTGAATGTCTCATCTGAACCAAATCCATTGACGAGACGCTTAAATGATTTTAGGCTTCAAGAGATTGGATGTGATGTTGCTTTTGTTGTTGGAGAAGAAATGGAGGTATAGTGGAAGGGACTTGTCAAATTTTTTGGATTTTTTAATTCTTTCTATAGAAACTAAAAGCGCATAAATTAGTCCTTGGAGCAAGTTCTCCTGTTTTTCTCGCAATGTTTTATGGCCCTTTGGCTAGCGATTCATCACCAACCGCACTTCGACTAATAAATCCAGCAGTTAATGTCGAAAATTCAATTAGTAAGCAACAGGAATCAACATCTGGTGCTCTTAGTATTTCAAATTTGCAACACATCCAACCTAAAACAGCTCATATTGTGAGTTGTTTTTTAATTTAAAATTGGGAAACTTTGGATAACTTAATTTCGTTTATTTAATTAATAATTTTCCAGGTAGGAGCAGAAGAAGAAGAATATGAGGATGAAGAGTATGAAGACGAAGAATATGAGGAAGAACCAGATAATCTCAGTAATGAGTCTTCCCTTACCTCATCTCTCGAAGGAGAGCATCATTTACGCGGAGTAAATGATATCAAAACATTTCCAACTGTTGGGGTTGTTGGAACTGCTCAGAATTCTGGAGTTGATGAAGGAGGAAATTTAATACATCGAAATGTTCATTCTGGTAGATTTTAGCATTTTTAAAATTTTGTAAATTCTTTCAAGAAGGAGTTTAATTCTAATTAATAACAGAATAAGCAATAATTTATTTTTGTAGCAGAAATCCCTCCACCACAACCTCCACATTTTCATCGTCAAATTTCTCATCCATTTGAAGGTGGTTCAATTGTCAAGCGACGTTTCTCAATTTCTAAACCAAAAAACTTGGGTCATAAAACAGTACAATCACAAGGAGAACAACATCAACAACAATTAAATTTTGACGAGAATTCAATGAAAATTGAATTGGCTGTTAAAGGACTTCAAATGGTTAGAGTACCAGATTGTGAACCTAAAGCTTTTGCTATTTTGGTAAATTTAGATTGGGATAAAAAATGATATATTTTTTTCTTTTCCTAGATTGATTTTGTTTACAGTGATTTTGACATAAAAAACCTTTCAAGACGTAATTTACTTAATGAAGAGAATGTAATGAATACACTTTATGCCGCTAAAAAATATGACATTCACCCATTGGTGACAGAATGTGTTAGATATTGTACTGCTAGATTGACTGCAACAAATGCCGTTTCTTTGCTAGCACAGGCACGGCTATTGGATGAAAATACTTTGGTTGAACAGGTATATTCATCAAAGCAAATATCAAGAAAACAATCATCAAAAAATTTATTAGTGTTATCAAGTAATCGACCAAAATACGGATATTGCACTCCATGCCAATGCTATAGCCGATATTGACAGAGATACATTAATTAATGTTCTTGGTCGAAATCAATTGGACCCTTCATCAGAATTAATTATTTTCCATGCAGCAAAAGCTTGGGCAGAAGCAGAATGTTCTCGTAAACATATTCAACCAACAGTTGAAAATCTTCGAAAATGTTTGGGGCCAGCAATGGAATTAATTAGATTCTCTTTAATGGATGTAAATGAATTTGGACAGGCAGCAAGCTCTTCTTTGTTAACATATGAAGAGATTGCTGAAGTATTCCTTCATTTAACAGTTCGCCCACGCCCTCCATGTCGATTTGCTTGTAAAGGCTTTCGAGCTGTAATTAAAATATAAATTTAAAGAAAAAATATTTTTGAACAGAATTCTCGTTCAAAACACGTCGTTCAACGTTTTCTTTCTGTTTCGGCAAAACCTCGTTCTCGACGTGAATACAAAGTCTGCTTTACTGTAGACAGAAATGTTCTTATAAGTGGATTGAGTGTTTATGGTGTTTTTCAATCAAATAACAAAGTTTACGATGAAAATCCGAAGACAACTTGGGAATATGACGTTGAAATAAAGGTGGGGGGAGTTTTTAAGGGATTATTTTAAATGTGTGAAAGTTACTTGGAGTGAGGGGGGATTTACTGGTAGTGTTAGGAGATGGTTTTAAAGGGAGGAAGGGATATCACACTTGAATTTTATAAAATGTTTTAAGTGTCTAATGAATAAAATAATAATTATTAGATATTTTCAAAATTAAAAATTTTATCAATTAAAATAACCAATATTTATTAAATACAAATTTATATCGTTTAAAAATTAAACTAAAATATTTTTAAATTTAATTTTAAATTAATTACAATTTAAATTTTCCTTTTCTTTCTTTTCTTTTAAATTTCGCTTATTTCTCCTCAAGAATCTTCCCTTCATTGTCTTTATAAAATTCATAATTTCCATTACGAAATAATGGATAAAACTTTGCAATATTATCAAAATTAATTCTTTTGCTTTTATTTTTCTTTTCAATTTTAGCTAAATAAATACTTAAACCTTTTCTTAAATTCCCCAAATTTTCTCTAAAATTTAAATTAGAATTCTCTTCTTTATCAAAAAATTTAGAAACACATTCCTCCTCTTCCTCCTCCATATTTTTAAAAATATTTATTGAAAATTCAAATAAACTTTTCTGTTGTAAATTAGGAGAAGAAATATCTGTTGGATAAACTTTAAATAAATAAACACCTTTTTGTTTAAATTTTCCACAAATTTTTATAAAAGAAATTTTTTTAAGTTTATTTATTTTTGTATTTTTTTCTCTTTGTTTTAAAAGCAAAATTAAATTTTTTTCCAACTTTTCCTTTTTTTCTTTTTTATTTTTATTTTCAATTGTACTTAAATAACTTAAAAATCTTGTCATTTCAAAATAATTTATTTTATTTTCTTCCATAATTGCTCTTTTATTGTCAACAAACATTGTAGTATTTGATATAGTCTCTCGATAATTAGTTAAATCCAAATTTATTAAATTCTCGAAAAGTGGGCGAATTTGGATTAGTGCCTTTAAAGAAGGGTTTATGGATAATTTAAATAAATTGTTATCGAGTTCTGTCTTCATTATTTTCCTATTATGTAACTCCTTAATCTACACACAAAGGGTGTGTCGAAGCTAATCTTAAAAAAGAACGGAAACTACCAAAAGCGGTATCTCATATTCGGTATCTCATCTTCAGTATCCTATATCCCGTTATCCACTTTATGATGTAACCCCCTAATTTCATAATTCTAACTTTATTTATAAAGTAATGAAATAAATTCCTCACAACACTTCTCCCTCCATTCCACATATTTAATTTCTCAAAACAAATACTTAAACCCTTTCTTAATTCAATATTACTATCAGAATCATTTAACATCATTATTTCATCCATATAAATATCTGGATTAGCCATAGCAAAAGAATATTTAATAACATTGTCAAGATTGCCATTACAGTTATCTCTTAATGAAGTAACATAAAAATTACTTCGATAGTGGATCTGAGGATGGACAGAAATTAATATAGCCATTGGTCTTTCATTTAAATTATTTTGTAAAGATAAATTAATTTTTAGTTTTTTTAAATTAATTAATAATTCTGTTTTATTATTTTCTTTAAATTCATTAGTTTTATCAATTTCAATTAAAAAACGTTGCTTGTTGGTAATTATTGGTATTTCTTGAGAAAATATAAACAAAGTTTTAGTTAAAATTATTATTAAAGTAATGAATATTATCATCGTAATTTTCAATTACTGTCTATAAATATTTACTTGTTGGAAATTTAAAAAAATTAATTTGAATATTAAATTATATTTTTTTATTTTATTTTTTATTTTATTAATGTTTGTTGTAAAATTATTTTTTTAGACATTATGGTTTATTTATTTATTTTTTATTTCATTATTGTCTGCCCTTTTAAGTTAAAAAAAACAAATAATTATGTAATAACTTTAATATTTTTATAACAGTATTACATAATAATAGACAATCTCTAAAATGCACTTTTAAAGTATAAACAATCCTTCGCCTATTTCAAAATTTAAATTTTAAAATTTTTCAGTTAGAGGCACCAGTTGACTCTCCAAGCATTTACGGGTCAGCATTAAAACTTCTCGCATCAAACATTGTACAATTGAGTAGCAAATTTGGCGATCCGAATCCCCTTGTCGCCTATTTTACTGAACCAGTTGCTTGTCAAGCAGATATTACTTATTTGGCTACTGTTCATTTTAAAGTAATTTTTTGGAGAGAATTCTTTTTGGAAATAATTTTTAATTTTAAAGAATGAAACGGGTGTTTCTACTTTTCAAGGCAAGGATGGACAAGATCGTGTTGTTGTTGAATTACCTTTTGATGAAACTGTTACTTTTAAGGTATTTTGAATGTTTAGTGTTTTTGATATCTGGGAAGCTTTGTATTCACACAATAAAGAATTTATAAGGCGGAGAAAAACAAAAAGAAAACTTCCCCCTTTGTTTTGGGACATAGAAAACTTCAAAATAACTTTTAAAAATTTTAGTTCCATTCTTATCGTTTTGGATTTGACGGAGGTGACGGTGGAAGGACCGAAGGTCAGATCCCAGCAATACATTTCCTTATGCAATGGTCAGATGAAAATCCACCAAAAAGCTTTAATTAAAATAATTATTTAAACTAAATTTGTTTTAATATATATTTGGATATTTAATTTAACCAAAAATCGGGCATTTTTATTTATTTTTCATGAATTTAAATTTATTTACTTATTTTCTTCTTTGCTCGTCACCAATTAAGGCAAAATTCAATTTATTTTTATAATATTTCCTAATTATTTTTATTGTTAGTTGTTTGAATAAAAGCATTATTTGGTAATTAATTTGAATTAGAAATTACAAAAATAGACAAAAGAAAGTAAAATTCATCCAATAATTATCCAAAAATAATTAAATTTAACAGTTAAAAGATTAAAAAATACTGACAATAATTAAAGAGAAAACTAGAAAATAAAGTTATAATTAATTTAAAAATTCAATTTCTGTTATTTTTAAATATCATTCACATCAAAATATTATCACACTATATTAAATACCCAACCAAAAAATAAAATAAAAAATTCTAATTTTGATCTTCATTCAATTCTAGTTCTTTTCTTTAATTCTTAATTTTATTCAAATCAAACTTTGCCAATTCTAAAGGCAAAAACTCCTCATAATCTGTATTGTAAACTTGAGCACGAACAAACAATTCTTTATCTTCAGGCTCTGGATAAAGCTTTGCACTTCCATCCTTTTTTGAAAATTAATTTTAGAATTAATTTTTTTACAAAAATATTTACTTTATAACATTCTTCCCCAATTGCCACAGCAATTTTTATTGAAATTTCGGGAACTTTTTTGAGATCGGGATACAGACAACCAACCGATAATTCCTCATCAGAAACACATTCTGCTAATTTCTATAAAATAAAATTAATAGATTTATTTATTTTTCGTTTTGAAATGTATTATTTCTTATCGTCATTTCCCGACACTCGAAAATTTAAAAGGAATTATAAGGAAGGTTTTAATTTCCAAAAATTTGTTTTAACATTTGGAAAGTTATGAGAAAAGACAGGAGAAGGCATTTCAGATTACTATGTATTAGGGCTGGGCGAAATCTAAAAATAAAAAGCGAAATACGAAATGCGAAACTTTTCGCGCTAAAAAATGTGAAATATGCGAAAGATGCAAAACACGAAAATGCGAAATTAGCCCAGCCCTGGTATGTATGTATATACATATTTTTATTGTTATTTTTTGCATTCCTTTAATAGAGAAATGCATTTTTAATATAATATTTTTTTAAAAATTAATTTTCAAAATTCCCCACCAAAGCAGCAATTAAAAATAATTTATCAGGTATATTAGCCACTTTAAACAAAACAATTCCCAAAGCAACACCAGGAAATATATAAGCATTATTGCATTGGCCTGATCTAAAATTTCGTCCATCACTCAATTGAACAGGAGGAAATGGACTTCCAGAAGCAAAAAGGGCAGAGCCCTAAAGAAAGAAAATTTTTTTTAATTTTCAAAATTTATTTTTACATTAGTTCCTTTATATGCTTCAATAGCTGTACATTCAGATTTACTTGTTGGATTTGAAAGGGCAAAAATTACTGGGTGTTTATTAAATGTAGACATTTCTCGAATAATTTGTTCTGTAAAAGCACCCCGAATTGTTGATACTCCAATAATTGCTGTTGGTTTAATTGCCTTTAAAAATAAATATAAGGGGGAGGGGGACTAATTTATAATTTTAGAACTGGAAATTTTCTCAAGAGAAATCACAAAAAATTTTTTTAATAAAAAGTATAAATTACTTTAACAATTTCATACAAATCTTTAAGATCAGGTCCATCTTTAGCAAAAGGGACTTGTTGTTCAGAAAGTGTTTGTCTCTTTTTAATTATCAATCCATCTGTTTTTACAAGAAAAATTCTTTCTCTAGCCTTTTCTTTTGAAAGGCCTTCACAATACATTTTTTCTACCAAAAGTTCTGCACAGCCAACAGCTGCTGTACCTGCCCCGTGAAAAAGAAATTTCATATCAGAAATTTTTTGGCCAGTTATTCTGGCAGCAGCAATTAAACCAGCAACGGAAACTGAGGCTGTTCCCTGTTAAAATAACTTTTATTTAAAAATAAATTCCTCTATTTTTTAGACACTCGTATTTTCAACCCCAAGAGTTTGTGTAAAAGCAAGGTCTGAACCAGGGATGTCACGAGTTGAGAAAAAGTTGGACCGGGTTTTAGAAAATTTCTCGGGTCGGGTTTCGGGCCGAGAAAAAGGCCGGGTATCGGGTAACCCGTGACATCCCTTTCAAAATTGTCTAAAAACAAAAATGTCTATAAAATAGAGGTCCAAAAAATCTAATTATTTTACAGTAAACAAAAACATTTTTACTTGAATATCATCATTAAATGTGCAATAATCATTTCTAAAACGTTCCAAAAGTTTGTAGGCTGTATTCTTTCCAAAATCCTCAAATTGAATTAAAACATTCTGACCAAAACTAAAAAAAAACTTTAAAAAATTAAAAAGGAAATCTTTTCACTGTTTTCGACAAGCTTTCATAAAATTATCAATAAAATTTTCATATTCGGCTCCACGTACTCGTTTTTGTTTAAGTCCAACATAATCCGGATTAGACAAAAACTCTTCGTTATCTGTTCCAACATCCAACTTTAAAAAAGAAAAAATATTTTTGTAGAAGAGATCCCCCTCCCCTCCCGCCAACAAATTCTGAGTAAAAATTTTATTAATTTTAACCCACTTGTATAGGCAAACACCACCGAGGCTGAACTCCTCCAAGGGCCACATAAAGAGCTAGTTTGCCAACAGGAATTTCAATACCTACAAAATTAATTTTTGAATTTCTTCCCCCCAATTTTTCTACCTTGAATTCCCAAATCTCCAAGTCCCAAAATACGTTCACCGTCAGTTACAACAATTGCTCTAACATCCTTTTAAAAATAAAATTTTTTTTAAAAAGTTTTTCTAAAAAACTTGATATTTCCAGTTACTCAGAATTTGATAAATTTTGCTTATATTATTGTCTTTAATGCTGATAAATAATGCTCTAAATTTTATTTTAATTTATTTATTAAAAATTGAAAAATTCACTTTGGGTATCTATATTCAAATTGAAGACAAGCATCGCCGACTGTCGGCTAAAAAATAAAAAAATTTTGTCTAGTCTTTAAAATTATTTTAAAAATTCCTCACAGTATAAACGATAGGCAAAAGTTCATCGGGATATTCACGCATAAGTCGATAAAAAAGTTTCTCGTCTCTCTCCTAAAATATTTTTTACCAAATAAAATTTAAATTTAAAAACACCTTTAATGCCTCCAAAAAAATAAACCGAGCCATATCATCTGGCTGTGCCCTCAATTTTTTAATTGAAGAGGAGCATTGTTTTGATTGTGTTCTGTGAATTTTGAAATTAAATTTAAAAAAAAAAATTATTAAAAGAGTACATGCAAGTTTGAGGCATTAGACCATCAAGTCCCAAATAAACACGTTCAGCTGATGTAAAAGACAACCCCTTAAAGGATATATTTTTTATTTATTTCCCCCTCATCCCCCACCTTATTAACAGACGCATCTTTAAGCAATGTATGTCCTTTTGTTTTAATTGTTGACGGCTCTGGACGATATAACTCCAAAAGAGACATTTTAGATGCTCTATCCATTTTTATTCAATTTTAATTAAAAATGAGAGGAATTTAAAAACTTAAATTGAGAAAAATAAATAATTAAAAAATAATTAAAAAATGGGGTGCCTGAACGTGGCATGCTTATTATTTTTGTATATATTTTTGGTGGGCCCATTAATAAACAGGTCGCTCCATTCACGCATAAACAATGTGTTTTCCGTTTGAAAAGTAAAGAGAAAAACATTAAATATTTTGATAAGAATTTATTGAATAAAAAGGAATGTACTGAAGTGGAGGGGAGGGAATTAAATATTGTGATTTTTAGTTAAGAAAAATAAATTTAAATGGAAGATAATTAAGATTAAATGTCAAGAAAATAAAATTAAATATAACGCCAAATTTATTTAAAAATTGGATTAAAACTTGTTTTTGATTTTACTTTTCGTTTATCCGAATAATCATTATTTGTAAATAGAAGACTGAAGAAAAGGATTATTTAATTGTAAAAATAATTTTTAATTTAATTTTTTTATAAAAATATTTTTTAATTTTATTTTGAACAAAAAATAAGAAGAAAATTGTTTTTAAAAATTTTTTATGAGTAAATATTTTATTTGAGAATAACTTCAATTATTTAAATAATACACAATTTCTCGTAAAAGAAAAAATAATTTTGAATTGGTCCGAGAAAGAAAAACAAGTCACGAAGTTTTTAAAAAAAAAGTTTATTGTTGGCAATAATAAAAAAATATAAAGTTTTCAATAAAGAATGTCTAAAATAAGATATACATATGTATAATAAATTTCTTACAATAATTTTTTCTAAAAGTTAAATTTAATTTAGTAAAATTTATTCAAGTATTCTTAATTAAACATTATTTGGATATCCGAAACAAAATTTGTGTTATTCAAACCCTAAACCGAAAGATCTTCGGTTCGATTTTTGAAATTGACAAGGAAAAAAATAAATGCGAGAAAATAAACGGATAATAAATTATTTTGTTTTAAATACTTAAATAATTTTACTTAAATATTAAAATAAATATATTTTTTATTTAAATATTTAATAGTAAATGCTGTTACTAAAATTTAAAATTTCGAATCAATTTTTATTTACTATGTACATTCATTGATTTTTATAACAAATAAAAACAAATTTAAACAAAAAATCAAAATAAATTTAGAAAAGACAAAAGGAAAAATATTTTTTTATTTTAAATTTTTGCAAAAATAAAATTAAATAAAATTAAAAAAAACTCTAAAATTCAAAGCTGTATAAAATTTAGAAAAAGACTCGACGGAAATTTAAATATTTAATTTTTAATTTTTTTATTAATAAATTATAGACAAAATTTAATAAAAAAATTTTTTTTTCAAATCGTCGGGTATACATATTTTGGTTTAAAAATTAAATTAAATTATACACACCTCCACGTTTTTCAAAGAAAAAAATTAAAATTTAAAATTTATAGCTCATCTAAATAAATAAAATGGGTGGAATGACGGATGGAATTTTTTAATTTTTTATTTAAAATTTTAAATAAAAAATTTAAAAATTTAAATTTGCATTCTCAAAAATAATTTTGAGATAAATATTTTAATTATTTTGAGTAAATAAATGGCATAAACTACTAAATTTAAAAAACTGGATGTATATAATATGGATTAAAAATGCCATAGAAGCATTAAATAATTAACTTAATAATATTAAATTTTGAAAAAAAAGTTTTTCCTTTCCTTTCTCCCAAAAAATATTCTTTTAGAATATTCAAAAATTCAAAAAATTAAATAATCTGAATTTTTTGAAATTTTTTAAAATTCTTTACTGTTGCCAGTTTTATTCGAAACTAAAAATTTTTTTAAACAGATCTAAATTTAAACGGCAACCTTAATTTTATGTATATCTTTTCAATTTTAATCTACTCATCTAAAAATTTTCTAAAATTTATTTTTATATTTTTCCATCAATTTATTTTATTGGAGTTAATTGTTAATTATATAAAATAACATTTACAAACATTTTCCTTATATTTTAGAAAATTTACATAAATTTTTAAAATAATTTAGGGGAAAATAGAAGGAAATGACATTCCTCAAAATTACTTTTTCGACTCTTTTATTGTCCTTACTTGGCACAAACATTTTAGGATTTGGTCCTTGTGATCGTATGGAATGTAAAAATAGAGTGGTAATTATTTAATATTTTTATTTTAAAAATATTTTTAAAAATAAACTTGAAGGTGGGTAATTGTAAAAATAAAGTGGCGTTGTAAGGAACGCTTAATAATTTCTTTTAAATATTTTTAATTTAAAGCTTTTATTTTTTCATTAAAAATCATCAAAAAATATTTATTCTAATTTAGTTAGACGATACTTTATATGTGGATAAAGACTACGATTGTGGATATACTCGTCTTATACCTAATAGAAATAAAATAGGATATGGAGGAAAGAATGAACATCAAAAACCAGTAGTTCAAATAAGTAATGGTGCAACACTTTCAAATTGTATAATTGGGGCAAGAAAAAATTATAAGACGGCAGATGGAATTCATTGTGTGGGAAATTGTAAAATTAAAAATGTTTATCATGAAAAAGTTGGAGAAGATGCTATTACTTTATTGGGAACTGATCCAAATAGTCAATATCTAATTGACGGTGGTGGTGCACAAAATGCTAACGGAAAGGTTGTTCAATTTGATGGAGCTGGAACTCTAACTATTAGAAATTTTTATGTAAATTTTTACATTTTTTTATATAAATTGGGCTCGGTTGATAGAAGACCTCGATGTTGAAAGGATTTTAAAAATTTAAAAAAGAATTAAAACCCTCATTGTTGGAGGGAACCCCCTAAAGCGATACCCCCTAAGTTACGATTCCTTTTGGCTCAAGTTATTTTATAGTCCAAAAAATTTGATTAAATCCCAAAAATATTTTCTTTTAAGATGAAAAATGTCTACGCAGGTATAGCCTCATGTGGAAATTGTTTAAAGCAATATAGAAATAGAAGAATTAATGTTGAGAATTTAATTGTGGAAAATCTTACTAAAGGACAATTTATTGTTGGAGTTAATGGAAATTATGGGGATAAAGCTACCCTTAAAAATATAACAATAAAAGGAAAATCAAAAAGACAAGTCTATCCGTGTAAAATATTTGACGGAAATAATCAAGGAAAAGACTCTCCAGTTAGAAGTATGCAACCTGACAAGGATCATTGTATTTTAATTGATAAATTACATATAAGTGCTGATGATACAAAGAAATAATTTTTTTAAAGAAAACTTTTTCCAAATTCCTTTCCTCTACTATATACCTCTAATTCCCTCTACTACATACCTCCTTTAATTTTTCTTTAAAATCTTTAATAAAAATATATTTAGCATTTAAATGATTGGATAAAAACATTTATATATATTCTTTTATTTTTTTAAAAATCATTTTAATAGGGTTGTGTAGAAGGTGGTTGTTTAACTTCTCCTTTTGTTTCATTATTATTTATTTCTGTTGTTGTAATTAATATTCCTTCCTCTTCTTTTTGTTTTTCTGTTGTTTCAATTTCTGAATTATTTAATGTTGTTGTTGCCGGAGAAATATTTTCTTCCTCTTCGTTTAAAGATTTATTTAAATTTTTATCATTTCTTTCTATTCGTTTTTCTTCTTCATTTTCATCCTCCTCCTCATCCTCAGTTCTTTCAAAATGTGAAGAAGTATCAGAATCAATTATAGAAGAAACATCTTCTGTACATTCCTAAAAAAAATTTTTATATAGTTTCTTGTACACAATAAAAACCCCAAAATTTATTTAAATAACAAAACATTTTTATTTAATGAGGGTACATATTTCTATTTTAATTAAATCGGTTAAAAATCCATTCCCTTATTTTTATTAAACAAATATATTTTTGAAAAATATTTAAGAATTACCTCACTCGAGGGGGCAACTTCCAATGTATGAAAGTCGATATCGTTTTTATCATCCTCAATTAAATCATCTTTTGCTTCAATCAAAATAGGGAGAATGTGAGTATAAATACATTTTTTCTTTAAAGAAATTTTTTAAAGATTTTTATTTAAAAACTAAATTTAGATGAATATCCCTAAAGTTAATTTATATTTTAAAATTTATTTACTTACCTTTTCTTTAGTTTTGTTATCTTTAACAGAGCAATTATGTTTAATACGTAAATACGGCTCAATCTTTCCAAACCATTCATTCTGTTCTCCTTTAATTTCATAAAATCCTTTAGAATCTGTATTTGTTATTCCAAGTAAATCATCAGGTTCAAAAACTTTTTTAAAAAATTATTTTTTAATTTAAAAATAAAAATAAACTAACGATCAGCCTCTAAAAGTTCAATACTTGCTTTCGTTAAACCTTTTCCAGCACATGTTAATTTTCCTTTAAGATGGACAACTTCGGAAGTTGAAAAATTAAAGAAAAAGAATAAAAATAAAATATTTATTAACCCAAACATTTGTTTTAAATTAATAAAAAAATTTTAAAATTAAAAATAATTATGTGTATATTCATTAAAGATAGGCATATATTATTTATTTATATCAAAATAAACAATTCATAAATAAAGTATTAGCTAAAATAATCACCCAGGGTAATTATTGTTTCAACCCCTTGCTGGAGGGATAATTAACAAAAATAATTGAGAGCAATTTTTTAATTTTTTATTATCTCCTTATTTGAGAGTAGGACGTTATTTCGGCATTTACGGTAAATAAAATTAAAAAAATTCTCAAAAGAAAATTTGAAAAAAACTTTGATTTATCCAAAAATACTCAATAATAATAATTTATTCCCATAGTATAAAGAGGATTTATTTTACTTGATACTTTATTCAGAAAAATAAATAAAATTAGAGATTTTCGAAAAATATTTAAATATTTTTTTTTAATTTCCAATTTATTTTCCCTAAATAATTATTTAAAAAATTTTTTTAAAAGAAACTTTAAATGTAAAAATTTATTTTATTTTCTACCCTTAAATAGACCTTTTAAATTTAAATATATTTATTGTTCATTTATTTATTAGCCCAATTCTTGTCATTTTTATTATTCATTATTTCCTATGCTTTATTTTATTTAATCATCATTTTTTAAATTTAGTAACCCGAAAATTTATTTTGATTCACCCTCAATTATTTTTTAACAAAAAAAACTTTTTTAAGCTAAAAAAAGAAAAAAATTTTGCACGAAAGGAAATTAAAGAAAAGAAACAAAAACAATTTATTTAAAAAAAACCAAAAAATTCTCTCTTCATTATAGCTAATTTTCCATTAAATAACAAAAACAATATATTTTTAAATAAAAAATTATGAAAAAGAAAAATTAAAAAATGGGCAAAATAATTTAATATTTTTAATTAAAAATTAAATTAAAATTGAATTTAAAAATTTGAAATTAAAAATTAATTAATTTTGAAATTAAAATATTGACAATTTCTTAATTCAAAATTTAAATAAATTTATTATTTAAAAGAGATTTAGACTAGCTAGGATTCATTATTATAACCATTTCATATCTATACGAGATGTCTAGGCTTTGTTCGAACATTTCTCTGACATCTATTCTTGGCCATAATGTTATTTCTGACCATAGAACATTTCTGAGTTTTTTCTTTTATTTATGAAATGATGATTTAAAAAATTGAATTTTAATTAAGTTTTTTTTAATTTTTTTACTTTTTAGTCGTTCAGCGGCCTAACAAATAGAGAGATTTTAATTTTATTCGATATTCCAACTTTTTTTAAATTTACATATTACCTGGAAAAAAATTTTTTTCTTTCCTAAAATTTAAAAAAAACTTAAAAATGATTCATAATTTTGAATAATCATTTATTACCATTTATTACTATTTAATTCTTCTTTTTTTCTAATCATTTACAATTATTACTCATACGATAATTTTAATTTTTTAAAATTTATCACAATTATGTTAAGAAATATTAGAATAAAAAGAATTTTTGTGTTGAGAAGAGGTGTGTTTAGATGGTATAGATTATTTTTTTGGAATTATATTTAAATAAAATTATCAGTTTATTTAAGCAAAAATTTAGGAATTTAAGTAATCATTTATTTATTTTAATAATTTTTAAAAAATGTAAACAATTAAATAGTAGTTCTTTTATAATTTTGCAAAGAATTAGTAAGTAACTTCTAAAGAATCGAAAAAAATTTATCTAATATTTTGTTAATTTTGTCTATTTCCTCTAAGTTTTGGAAAGAAATTTCTTTAACTTCTGAGGAATTTATTTAAGATTATTTCACAGTATTGGCCGTTACAACGGGATTAAACCCTTTTTTATCTCCTTCTTATTATTTTATCCTGAAAATAACACAAATAGGTAAATTAAAAAAATATATTGTTATATTCTCATGATTAAAGTTTGGGGGAACAGATTAAGATTATTTTAGCCAAAAATCTTTTTACATAAGATTTTTTCCTTTAAAACAATTACTTCTTTTATTTAATTTTCTTTAATTAAAAATAATCAATTTTATTATTTTGTTGTATTTAAATATTAATAAAGCTGTTTAAATATTTAGAAAAATTCCTGAAGATTTATAAATACTCTAGCTCTCTCTTTTAAATTAAAATTTTATTTTTTTTTTTAGTTTTTTTATTTGCCAACACAGAAAATTTTTCTAAAATTCATTTAAAGTTTTACTCTTTTTAATTTTTCTCTTTCTCTTTTATGTCAGTTTATTAGCAATTCTTTAAAATAAAATTTTCTAAATATTATTTATAAAATATTTTTTGAAAAAGTAATTAATTAAATATAAAATTTTGGAAAAGATTTTAGGCAAAACAATTTTATTGTAATCTTAATATCAATTGAATATTTTAATTTTAATTTAAATTAATAATTGAAAAAAAAAATCAAAGCAAATAGTAATTTTCAAATAATAACTATTTTGAAGTAATTACAGCGAACAATTATTTTTTGAGAATTTTTTATAAGATTTAAGTTTAAATTTAAATCCCCAAAATTAATTTAAAATATATTTTTAAATTTTTAAAAATTAATTTAGCGTTAAAAAAAAATTATGAAAATAAACACAACAGACAAAACAAATTTAAATTCATTAACTTCTTCAAGTAGTACAAGTTTGGGTAATTTATTTGTTTCTAATAATGGAATTAGTGCAACATTAACACAAGATGGAGCTTCTGGCTCTGTTTTGCTTCTAATTACTTTTTTAAAATTATTTTCTTCTGCAAAACAGGGAAAAATAACAAAAGAAGGAAATAATATATTAAGGGTTGGATTGATTTAAAGAAATTAAAAATAAAATTATTTAAAAGGTTAATTATGATTATGACTTCATTGGAGATAAAAAGATACAGCTTACTATTCATTGGGATTCTAAAAGTCATCAAAAATTGGATTTTTATAATTTTTATTGGAAAAAGCCTACGGGTTTAAATTCTTTACATGTATGTGGTTATTTTATGTAGAAATAAAATTTTTGTTTATTCAAAATTAATTTAAAATAATAATGATTAAATATGTATAACCTTAACATTTTTAAAAATTAATTTAAAAAAGGATTCAATTAATTTGGGATCAGATAATTCTGTCCATTGGTATGGAGGAATGAATACACACGAACAATCTTGGCCAATAAAAAAGAATGATTATAAATTAACAGAATTTGTTACTAATGATGTTATTCAAGTAGTTTTTATTTATATTTAAATTTAAAAAATAAATTTAAGACTGGAGTAACTGGTCAAGAACGTTATTGGCTTTCTTCAAAAAAAGTTGTGTTAAATGTTCCTTGGAGTGTTCCGGTAGATTAAAATATTTCTTCAAAATAAATTTTTTTAAATTACCCTTGCTCAAATAGAAATATCAATATTTTATTGAATATACAGTCGAGAGTTTTATTTACATTTTTCTATTTAATAGAGGAAGAAGGAGGGGGGATAGCACAAATAATAGATAAACATAATTTTACCTACGTATCTCTTAGTCCCAAGCTTATGGACACAAGAAACTCGCTCCGATTGTCTTTATTAAAAAACCCTCCCTTAAATTATTAGAATCCAAGCTTCTAAATTTAAAAATTTTTTCAAATTAAATAGCTTTACACATCATTACAAAACAATGAATTAGACTTACAATCAAAATTAGATGAAGATTCTTCTTTTTTACTTCGTAACAATTTCCTTGAATATACTTTAGCTGTGCCTAAAGAATGGGAAAAAATTTCATTAAAAGATTTCCATCAAGAATGTTTTGAATTGTTTTTAGCGGCACCAACTGGTAAATTAATTTGTTTGAAATTTATTTTAAAAATTATTTTTTAAGCACATCCAAGTTTGGAAATAATTAGTAAACCAATTTGGTCAACTTGGGCTAATTTTTGGAAAGCTGTTGATCAAGATGGGGTAAGGAATTAAATTTAGTAGTTTCTCGTCTCTCATTTGAGCCGTGGGGATATGCCGAAACTTGCACCCTACTGATATACATATTCTCCTCTTCTTTCTAAGATTGATTTAAATTTTCTAGTTATTAGAATATGCTAAACAAATTTCTGACAATAATATGCCTATTTCACAACTTGAATTGGACGATATGTGGACTGTCTCTTATGGGGATTATCAAATTGATAAACGAAAATTTTCTAATTTTCCTGAAATGTTAAAAAAGCTTGAAAATGAATTTGGAATTAAAAGACTTAGTGGTAAATAAATTAAAATAATTTAATTAAACATTTCTTTGAAATTAACAATAAATGTAAAAGAAAATTGAAAAATTTAGCATTTAAATTAAAATATATAAATGTCTAAAGCTATCATATATTTTTACTTTAATTATTAAAAGGAAGTAAATTTTTACTTAATTATTAGCCTGGGTGCACCCATTTGTTGACGCTGACTCTGAAGTTGGAAAGAATCCTGAATTGCGTAATAAATTATTTGTTAAAAACAGAGATGGAGATGTACCCCTTGTTTGGTGGTGGGATTGTCCTGTTAAACCAAAAGATCCATCAAAACCTGTTGGGCCAACAAATCCTGACATAAAAGAACCTTGTTCTTATGTAAATAATTTTAAATAATTTTATAACACTTCTAACCTTTATTTAAATAAAATTAAGTTCCCCTTCTACTTTTAATTTATAATTAAAAATTAATTATTTAAAGAAAAGATTAATTACCTAAATATTAGGATAATAAATTATCTAAAAAATATTATTTTCTGTCCAAAAATATTTATTTTATAAAATAAATACCTCTCTCTCTCAATTAAAGGTTCTCGATGTAACAAATCCAGAAACTCGGGAATGGTGGTATAAACAATTAGAAGCTATGAAAGCGGTTTTAGATATAAAGTTATTTTTTTATTTAAATAAAAATAATTTTAGGAAGGAATTTGTACTTTTAAATTTGATGCTGGTAAATAATTAAATGAAATTATTTAAAATTATTATTTTGTAGGAGAAGCTAATTGGTTACCACATAATTATGTTCTTTATGATGGAGCTCATCCAAATAGTTTTTATTTTCTAAAAAATTTTATTTAAATTTAAAAAGGTTATGGTAAGCATTATGCACATTTTGCTTCTCGTTTTGGTTCTGCAGTTGAAAATCGTTATGGAAGTGGTACCCAACAAACTAATTTCTTTACTAGAACTATTGACCGTAATTCTCTTTGGTAAATTTAAAATAAATTTTTTAAATTTAATTTTTTAATTAAAAGGGATAAAGATGGGGGGTTGTCTACATTAATTCCTTGGTTTGTTTTCTAAATATTTTTAGAAAAATTTTTATTTTTAAGGGCATTACAATCATCCCTTCATGGTTATTATTGGAATTTGCCAGATATGATAGGCGGGAATGGACTTAATCATAATGAAAGTAATATTCGTGGAGAGCCTCCAGAAGAGGAATTATATATTAGATGGACACAAGTATTTTTTGAGGAAATTAAAAATTAATTTTTATTTTATTTTTTAAAGGCAAATACTTTACTTTTAGCAATGCAATTCTCTTATCCTCCTTGGCATTCTAAATATGGGGGAGAAGTATTTAAATATTTAATTTTAAAAAATAATTATTTTTAATTTTTAGGTACTTAATATTGTTAAAAAGTCTCTTGAAATTCGAAAGAAATGGATGCACTATTTAATTAAAAATGTTAGAAAATCTGTGGAAGAAAAAGTTCCCGTTATTCGGTAAAAAATAATTGAATTTTATTTAAATATTCATAAAAACTAATTTTTCCTTAATTTTCAAGTCCAATGTGGTGGGCAAGTGATGATAATGAAGCATTAACAATTGATGATCAATTTATGGTTGGATCTGATTTAGTTGTTGCCCCAGTAATTAAATCTGGTAAAAGAAAATAAATAATTTGTTAATTTTTAAATTTATTTTTTAGGCCAAAAAGCTCGAAATGTTTACCTTCCTGAAGGTAATTGGCGAAATGGGAATAATGTTTCGGAAGTTGTTAAAGGCCCGACAACAATTAAAGATTATCCGGTAGATTAATTAATTAATTTTTTAAAGAAAAATTAATAATATTAAAAATAATTGGAATAATCCTCAAAAGTTTTTTATTTTTTTCTAATTATTTGAAACAAATAAACCTCAAAATCTCTTATCTCTGTGTGACAGAAATAAGAAACCTGATAATAAATTCAAATTAAGCCCTTCTAACAAAAAATATTTAAATCAAATAATTTAAAATTTATTTTTTAAGTCTCCATTGGATGTTCTTCCTCATTTTTATCGCACAGATTCTGATGACTCAGGTAATGGTAGCTCTTCAATTTTTGGAAAATCTATGGGATTATTTAGTTTAATAATTTCGATAATAATTTCTTTATATTTTTTAAATTAAATTTTAATTTTATGGTAATTTTGTGGAGGGGGATATATTTTAATTAATTTTGAATTTGAATATTTTTTAATAGAATTGCCATTTAAACTTTAAAAGATTTTATCACATTTGATTTAAAAATTAATTCAAAACGGATAAAGTTATTAAATTCCAATTTTATATCAGAGAAAATAACTTTTACTAATAAATTTATTTGGCAATTTTATTTAATTATTTAAAAATAAATATTATTTTATTTTAAATTATATTTAAATTTTGCATTTAATTTTATCGGGAAAAATAAATTAAGTATATAAATTATCTACATTAATTTTCAGCGTTTTTATTTTGAATTTTATAATTGTTATTTTTCATTCAAAAAATTATTTTTATATTTATTTTTAAATTAAATTTAATTTTTAATATCATTTCTTACTTACAAATTACTAAGTCTTACGCATTTTTAGTACTAAAAATTATATTTTTATTATTTATAGAATATCCCTGAACTGAAAATAAAAAATAAAAATAACCGGCTGGACAACAAAAACTAAAAAATAAAATAATTCTCTCTCTCATTTTTTATAATAATTATTAATGCAGTCCTTGTTGTTTCACTCAAAAATCATTCAAACGTAAATTGCCAGCAGTAAATAATTCTATCAGATTCTAGCTGGAAATAAATAAATAATTCTTTGTTAAATTTGTTTTTAACAAAATTATATTACATATTACTCAATTATTATCATTCGGGTGTGTCAATCAGAGGGAATCTTAATTCCGACTTCAATCTTTTTTAAATTAAGATTTATCTTAACTCTATTATAAATTATTTTTCATTTTATTCAGATGAACAAATTTAAAATATATACAAAAGAATTACGTGTATATTATTTAAGTAATATCTTCAAAAAGACCAAAAAATAATACTAATAATAAATATATTTTTATATACTTCTTATAAGCATCTGTTCAATCATCAAAAATAAAGAAAATTGTTTTTCATCTTTTTTATAAAATATTTGTACAAGTTGAAAATAAAGAGAAGAGATTTTTGTTGAAAAAAAAAATAAAAATCCAAAAATGGATTTGGGCGGATTTTTTACTTAAAATGAACAATTAAATAAAAGCTCGTAATTTTTAGATTGTCATACATTCACTTAAAATAATTTTAAGTAAAAATATTTCTTTAAATAATTCCTTTAAATATTTTTATTACCTAACTTGAATAAAATTAAATTAAAAAAGGGATTTAAGGTTCCCATTGAATTTCTAAAATCTGGCCCTATATCAGATTACTTGTATTTAGTCAAAGAAATTATCTACATATTACCTTCCAAGCAGTATCATTAACAATAAAGAATTGACTTTTTAAAATTTAAAATGAATTTGTTTTAATTTTAATTTTCAAATTTAAAAAAAGATTTTAAAAATGTATTATTATCTATTATCAACCACAATATTTTTAATTTTAAATTTAATTTCTGCTCAAGATATTGGGCAGAATTTAAATAATAATGCCCAATTAGAACAATTTTTAAATCAACAACAAAGCCAAATATCTATTGACTTTCCTTCATCTTTAAATAATGGGCTAGTTTATAAAAATTCTAGAAAAAAAATCTCATTTAAATTAAATTTCAGAAATCTCCCTTCCCAACAACAATTAGTAATTCCCCAAACAATTAAATCAGCAGATAAAACTTCAATATTTCCTTCTTCTCAATTACCTTTTGATGGAGTTCCTCCTGGATTTGAGACAGTCTTGCCTATTGAAGTTTTACAAAAATTGAGGGAATTACACAAAAATACAAATATTCCTTTAACGGTTAATTAATTTTTAAAAATAATTTAAAATTAAATTAATTAATTAATTAGGGAGAAACTGAGAGGGAGGGGGAGGGGGCGATCATATTAAATATTTTTAATTAATTTATATCTACTAACATTTTTATTTTTGATTTTTAATATCAAAAAAAGTGTGAAATCTTTATTATTGTTACCAATAATGCCTGTTTAAAGATATTTCTGCTTATTTATCTACATTATTTAATTAAATAAATATTATTATTTTTGAAATAATTTAAAAAAAATAAAAATAATTAATTAATTTTCAAGATTTAATCTCTTCCTCTCTATTTATTTAATAATATTCTCTTTAGAAATTACTATAATTTTTTATTATAAATTCCAGAAAATAATTATTAAATAATTAATATCAAAGCTTTAACAAAAAAGAAATATGTATTATTCAAAATTTTCTTTTCAAATTTTCCCCACAAGTCCGTTCTTTAATTAATTATTTTAAGCAAAAACAATCAGAATTTGACAAAATAATGACTTCAGTTTCACCAAAATTACTTGCTAAACTTCCTTTACCGCCTGGATTTGAAGCACTTCCTTCCAACATTAAAGAGAAAATAAAAGAAATTAATGGTTTAAATCTAAATTTAATTAATTTATCTAAATTCTCTTTTTAGGTGATTCTTCAATTGATTGGAGTAAAAAACATTTAAAAGTTAAAGAATTAATTGGAACATTACCCCAACAACAACATCCACATCCTCAATTACACAATCCTATAAGAATTCCATCAACACAAATTCAACAAACAAATTCTGGAAATGTTATTCCTGAATTTTTTCCACCCAATGTTTTTATTTTAAATTTTAAAAATTTTTTTAAATAAGAGAAAGAAGAGAGAAGAGATAATTCAAATACTAAAATTATTTTCATTTAATTTCCCTTTTTTCTCCACAGCCTCCTCCCGGATTCGAAAAAGTTTTACCCCCAGAAGTATATCAACAACTTTTACAAATTCACCGTTCCCCTCAATTAACTGTCCAACAAAAAAGTCTACAAATAGATCAAATAATGCGTTCATTGCCTCAAAACATAATTGACAGTTTGCCTTTGCCGCCGGGCAATTTTTTAAATTAAATTAAAATAATTTTCTAATTATTTTCTTGCCAGGTTTTGACAAACTTCCACCAAAATATATTAAAGAAGTTAGGAAAATTTTTGGAGATAAATCTTTAAATTTTCAAGTAATTTTTAAAGAAATATTTTCTTTTAAAATAATTTCCAAGGAAAAAGACCAGAAAATTGTTCAATTTGTTCATTCATTGCCTCTCGAATTGCGAAAATTAACTCGACCGCCATTACCGCCAGCATTTGAAAAATTAAATTTTGAAGTTTTAAATTTTTAAATTAATTTTTAAATTTTAATTTTAGACAAAAGAGAAAATATCAAATTTATTTGATGATATTACTTTGGATGATAAACAACGACAAAATAATTTTTGGAAAATTGTTAATCAACTTCCAGAGGATGAAAAAGCTAAAGTTAATGAAGCATTTAAATTTCCTTTTTAAATTTTAGAAATATGTATATATTTTCTCTTTTAAATATTTTATTATTAACAATTTTTAAGGGGAAAGAGTTCTCTCAATTATTGCAAATAAAAATATTTAAACGAGAAAATATTTAAATTTTGTCTTTCATTTGTTTTTAATTAATAAAATATTTTCAAATTTATTTTTTCTTTAATTTTGAGTGATTAGAAAAAAATTTTGGGAATTTAATGATATAAAGGATATTATACAAAAAAATTTTTTAATTAGTAAAATTAGTGAGTAACCCCCTTTAGTTTAAAAACAATTTTTACCTCCTTCAAATAAAAACTGGGTAATTTAAAAATATTTTTTATTAAAAATAATCATGTGGATTGTTTTTTGTAAAAGAGAAGTAACGGAAATATTTGGCGAATTATTTAAAAATAAATACATATTTATTTATTTGTAGCACTAATTTGGCGAATATAAAGGAAAGTTTTTTTAATTAAAGGAAAAATTAAAAGGTAATTTTTTAATTCTTTGATAGTTCAATTTGTTAAAGATATTTTTGTGTGAAATAATTAAATAAAAGAGATTCAGAAATTAAATTTAGATCAGTTCCAAATAATTTTCTGATTATTCAGAAAGATTGTTTTCCAAAAGATAAAACAAACAGTAGAATATTTTTAAAGATTTTCTAGTTTTTAACAGAAAATATAAATATTTATAATATTCATTCCCAATTAATAATATGGCATCTTTATTATCCTTTTCTCTACTTTCTTTGGTTTTTACCTTTTTACTCGTCACAACACAAGCAAGGCCAGAATATCGTCAAATCTCTAATGTTAATTCATCGTAATAATATTTTTTTAATTTTTAATCAGAAAATTTAATTAAGTAATCGAGTAAAACGTTTTGGAGGTTGGGGAGGTGGTACTTATCGTTATGGACCGTGTGGCTATGGTGGTTGTTCTGGAGGCTCAGGATTTGGATATGGAGGTGGAGGATATGGAGGAGGATATGGAGGAGGAAGAGGAGGGTATGCTAGTAGAAAATAATTTTTGATAAAAATCCATTCAAGAATTTAAAATGAAAATATTTTTCTATATTAAAGTAAGGACGGTTATTCATAATTTTAAAAATTAATTGTCCCTCTTAAAAAGTGTATCTATAATTTAAAAAATTTCCAAGAATAAAATTTAATCAAAATCCAAATATTTAGTTATGGTGGACGTGGACCATGCGGTTCAGGCGAACACCACAGCGCAGAAGTATACGGCTGTGGTAGCAGATATGGAAGAAGATGAAAATAAAATATTTTAAATAATAAAGTATAAAGACAATGTTTATCTTGTTGATACTGCAAAAACTAATTTTATTTATTTTTTAAAATATTCCAAAATTCAAAAATATTTTTAAATTAAGAGGTTAATTTTTTAATAAAACTACGAGTTTTGCCAAAACTCGTAGTTTTATTAAACTACGAGTCCACTACGAGTTTTGCCGAGGCGAGTAGAACTTGGAAATTTTAAATAATTTATTTATTTAATTAATTTAAATTTTTTAATAAAAATTAATTAAAATCGATATAATATTTTATTTTCTCTAACATTTTAAATATTATTTCTTAATTTTTAAATCAATTATTGAAAAATAAAATTTACATACACTCTAAAAGGGCAAATAATGCCTACCCCCTCCTTCCCACATTAATTCTTAATTAATTGACAAACATTCATAAATTTAAATTTGGCAATTAAGTTAATAAACAATTATGAAATTTTAAAAAATAAAAATAATTTTTATTAAATTTTTAAATAATTCAGAAACTATATTAAATAGAAATAATTCTTTTTCCTCGAATAAAATTTTAAAAAATGCTAATAATTTTTAAGTTTCACGAAGTTGTTTTTATAGAATAATTAACTTGATAAATTTAGTAAAGGAAAAGTTTGTTTTGAATAAATCCCTTAAGTTTTGATTCTTCAAGTAATTTACTACTATAAAATTAATTTTAGATAAATTTTTAAAAATGGGTAGTGGCATTTGGCCACAAACCCATTCCATCCTTAAACAATTTATTTTCCTTTTTATTTGGATAATTCCGATATTTATTGCTAGAGTTATTATTAGCAATAATTCTGAAAGTATTGATAATGTTAAAGAAAATTTTCCTTCAAATTTGGAAAAAAATGTAACTTTGAAAAATGATGGGAATGATCAGGAGAAAGTTGAAATTGTTAATTTTGATAAAGATTTAAGTGAAAAATTAAAAAAAGAAATAGGTGAAGACGGGAAAGAAAAAGTAATTGAGGAAAATGGAATAACTGAAAAACATGATGAAGGAATTAAAGGTTTTCTTAAATAAATTTTAATATTCACATTGCTTGAGATAAGGGTTTGTGTGGTTGTTTAGATAAATTAAAGAATATTCTGTAGCATTTTCTTGATGAATTCGATTCAAGGATTTAACTCTAATTATTGCGCCAGGAAATTAGTTTTCCATTTACAAAAATAGGGAAACTTAAGAAAAGTAAAATTAGTATATTTAAATTAAATTAAAAATATTTAAGACATAAAAGTAAAAGAAGTAAAAGAAATTCTAAAGAAGGAAGAGCCTAATGATATGGAGAAAGAAAAAAATGAAAGCAAAAATGTTGAAGAAGTAAACAAGCAAAACCAAAATTTAGAAAACAAAACAAATCAAACAATTCCCCAATCACCAATTCAAAAAAGTGGAAAAGAAACCCTTGAAAATGATCAAGAAATCGTTTCTCATATTGAAAATTTAAATAAAAAAATGAAAGAAAATATTGAAGAATTGTCAGAGTTAATGAAGGGTAAACCAAAAAATGAAGAATTAAACAAGTATTTAGGGCAATTTGAAATGATACAGGGAGATTTACAAGAAGATGAAGAGGAGGAAGAAGATATTGAGGAAGAAAATGAAGTTGGGGAAATAAAGGAAGAAAGCACAAATGAAGATAAAAATGGAAAGGTGGATGAAAAAGAAGATTTGGATAAAAATAAATTAAATGATTCGAAACAATTGGAAGTTTTGAAAGAAAAGGAAGAAGAATTTGAAAAGAAAAAGTTGGAAAAAGAAAATGAAAAAACATTAAAACAATATCAAACAGAAAATACAAAAAATAATCAAATTGAAACACCAATAGAAAAACAGGTGGATAATGAACAGAAAATTATTGAGAAGGAAATTAAAGCTGAAAAACCAAAAGATGAAAATAAAGAAGGTTTAGAAGAAGTTACAAAACCAGAAGATGAGAAAATAAATGAAACAAAAGAAGAATTAAAGGAGATAAATGAAAAAGAAAAATTAGAGAATAAAAAGGGTAAAGAAGAATTTGAAAAAATAGATTTAAAACAAAATCAAACAGAAAATTCTGAAAATTCAAAATTTGAAGAAATTAAGAAAAGACTTGAAGAAATTGAAAAAGAAAAGAAGGAATTAGAAGAACAAATTGAAAAAATGAAGGAAAAGGAAGGAAATAAAAAAGAAGGAAAAATTGAAGAGAAAGAAGAAGAAAATAAGGGAGAGAAAGAACAAGTAAATGATGATAAAATAAATAAAAGTCCTCAAAAAATTAACAATTCTATTCCAAATTCACAAGAAAGGGATAAATTATGGAGAAAAATTTGGAAATCATTGCGTAAACAACAAAAGAAAAAATTGGTTTGGAAAGCACTAGAAAATCGTAAAAAGCAAGGAAATGTTGGGGGTAATAAAACAGAAAATTCTGGAAATCCAAAATTAGAAAATCCAAAAAAAGATGTTGAAAAAGACAATAAAGAATTGGAAAAAGAAAATATTAAATTAAAAGAAGATGAGAAAATAATCAAAAAAGAAGAAAATAAAAATGAAAAAAACAAAGAAAATCCAAAAATATTAAAAGAAGAAAAGAAGGAAAAAAAGGAAGTTTTGAAACAAAAATTGAATGAGGATGTAAAGATTATTGAAGAGAAGAAGAATGATAAAGAAGGAAAATTATTATTAAATGACAATAATATAGGAAAAGATAATCTTACGATGAAGGAAAAAGATAAACAGGAAAATGATAAAATTAAAATGGCAAATAAAGAAGTAAAAACAAAGGAAACAAAAAAAGAAGAAACAAAACAAAAAGAAGCTGCAAATGATGTGAAAAAAGAAAAATTGAAAGAAGATGATAAAAATACAAAAACAGAAAAAGCAATTACTGACAAAAAAGAATTAAATAATGAAAGCAAAACAAAAAAGGAAGAATTAAATGGAAAAGAAAATGGAAAAGAAAAAAATAATTTGAAAGAAAAATTGGTAAATAAAGGTAAAAAGGAAGAAAAAGAAGCAACAAAAGATGGCCAAAAATTATTAGATAAAACAGTGAAGACAACAACAAAAGTTTTGGATAAAGAAGTTGAAAAGAAGAAAATTGAAGAACAAAAACTAATGAAGAAAGAAGAAGAAAAGAAGGGTAAAAAGAAAAGTTAAAAATTAAAAATATATTTAATAACATTTTTTAAATAAATTTCAGAAATAACCACCAACACCAACAACAACAACAAATTACCAAAACAAAACAAGAAAGGAAAGAAACAAACAAAACATAGCAGTAGTGATGAAGATGACGATGATTCTGAAGAACATATTCCTTATAAACAAGCATTAGCTGATTTTTGATGAGAGAGAGAGTGGGAGAAGGAGAGAATTTTTTATTATTTTTTTGTAGAAATGTACATAAATTAGCTTTGTAAACTAAAAAAACATTTTTTCCTTTTTTGGAAATTTTACAATTTTTATTTAAACATTAAAGCTTTAATAGAAACTCGTGATTATTTAAAAAAATATTTTTAGGGAAGGATTTTTCAGAAATATTTTTGTGAACGAGAATATTTTTGTAATTCTCAAGTTTATAATTTTAAAATGTAAACTCTATTAAAGCTTTATTTATTTTTATTTTATTACAATTTTTTATGAAATTTAAATTTGTACTATATTTTATTTTTATTTATTAACATGTATTTGTTAGTTTAAAAATTTTTAAATTACATTTTAACTGCTATTTTTTAATTAGGATTGTTGGGAAGTAAGGGAATTTTTAAGGAAATAGAATTTTAAGGGAATACAATAAAGTTAAATATGCAATTAAAAGTGAATTTATTTATTTTTTGTAGAAGAAAATATTTTTATTTTTTCGAGAATTTTCCCGTTCTTTAAACAACAATTGTTATTTTTTAAACATATGTTGAATTGATTTTATAAAGTTATAGAAGTTCTTTAAAATATTTATTTAAAATATTTAAACTTTTTCTTTTAAAAAATTAATTTTTAAATTAAATGAAACCAAAATTTTGTGCTATATGTAAACAACAAATTGGGGCTATTGAAGACAAAGTTTTGGTAGAAAAACATACTCGTGAGTTTTTATTTAAAATTAATTGTGAATTAAAATGACTTTTGGGGAAGTTTTGGTGGGAAAGGTTCGCGGGGAAGGGGCATCATTATTGAAGAAGGATATACTATTAAATTTGTCTAAACTTTAAAAAAACTATTTATTTTTTAAAGTCCATAAACGTTGTTTTAATTGTGCAATCTGTGATACTTCTTTAATGGCTGGAAATTGTTCAATTGATGATACAATATTTCAATATTTTGGGCCTTTGTGGTTCTGTCCTGCTCATAAAATGCTTGGTTCTGGTGAAAAATTGAAACTTTTAAAAGCAAAATATGGCGATCCTGGACAGAAATAAATTTTAGAATTTTGTTTATTTAAATACAAAAATATATTTTAAAATAATTATATGTTTAAATTTAAAATAATTTTTAAAATTTTAATATTTTTAATTATAATAAATTCTGGAGAATAAAGTTTATCAATAAAAAAAGATTAAAAATACAACTTCAAAAAACATGCATAGCATGTAAAAATAATTTTGTTTAAAAAATAATTTAAAAAAACATGTGGATATATAATATCCAAAAAATCAAGAAGATTCACAATTTTGTTTGTAGAGGTTATAATAATTGGAGTATGTGTGGTAAAAAAATAATGAATGAGAGGTAGTTAAATACAAATGGGACAAAAGTTTAATAAATCCAAAAAAAGCCCTCACACTCTTCCAACTCATTAAATACATCTTTTTGCCGACTTTTAATTTTGAACATCTTCGGCAAAATTTCCTTTTCCTTTAGTTAATTCAACACTTTCTTCAGATTCATAGCTGCTTTCATCTGAATGATTTGCTTGTCCCGGCGATTTTTTCTCCAACTTTTTTCCTAAAAATTTTATTAAATAAATATTTACCCAAATTTAATAATTAATTTACCAGATTTTGTTTTATGTTTCTTTCCTTCTCCATTTTTTTGAGATGCAGGTTTTTGCACAACATCTTTGTTTATGTTACTTTGATTTTCAACTTTCTCCTTTTTATCAGTAACAACTAAATAATTATTAAAAGAAATTTTTATTTAATAACCCCTAAATTTTCAAAAATTTCTCTCACCTTTCTTAGTAAAATCTTCTTCTAATTTATGTTTCGTTTCATCGTGTTTAATTGTTTTGTCAACAATCTTTTCGTTTACTTTAAGCTTTTCATCCTCCTTTTCTGGTTTTTTCAACTTACCTTTTTCCTCTATTATTTCACTGTCTTTTGTTTTGACTTTTTCAGTTTCCTTCTTGTTTTTCTTATCTTTTTCATTGTTTTTACTATTTTCGTCTGTTTTAGCTGTTCCTTTTTGTTTTTCGCCTACTTTCAATACTTTTTTATCCTCACCAGATAATTTAACTTGGTCGGTTAATTTTTGTGAATCTGCAGGTGATGATTTCTCAATTTTGTTTTTAGTTAATTTTTGTTGTTTTTCATCTTCATTTTTGACTTTACTCTCCATTTTACTTTCTTCTGGTTTTGATTTTTCAATTACTTGGCCATTTCCTTTAGATTTTTTTAAATCTTTCCCCAACTCATTTCCATTAGCTTTTTCTTTTTCAACATTTCCTTCTTTTAATTCTTTTTCTTGATTTTTTGGTTTTTCAACGTCATTTTCTTTAGTTTTATCATTTTGTCCACTACTAAAGAAGGATTGCCAAAATTGCTGCCAAAGTGATATTTCCTGAGAATTTTCTTCTTTCCTTTCAGTCTCTCCGGTATTCTTTGTTTCTGTTTTTAACTCACTCACAATTGGTGATTCTTCTTCACCTGCTGGATCAATTTGAGTAATATCCTTCACTTTTTCAGTTGTTTTTGATTCAACAACTTTCTTTTCCAAATTTAATTTTTCTTTATTTAAAGCCTCCAGTTCCTTTTTCTTTTCAACAATTTTAGTTTCAATGCTTTCATTACCCTGCCCATCCATTTTGGGTACTTTCTTACCTTCTCCTTCAATTTCCTCCTTTAATTCCTCAACATGGCTACCTTCAACTCCAGAAAACAAACTTTCACTTCCTTCTTTTGGTTGACTAGTTTTTGCACTTTTATCATTAAGATCACTTCCAATTACTCCGGGTTTACCAGGAATGACAGGAGCATTGTCTTTAACTACAAAAGCTTCTCCACTAGGAATTAACAAAATAAAATGTCCAAGCAAAGGAGGCCACAAAACAATTAAAGTTTTTAAAACACTCCGCATTTAGGGGAATTAAATGTATGTAGAAATAAATAAAATGAAGAAATCGAAGCCCTTTAAAAATTAATTTTTGAGTAAGTTGTCAATCACTATTTCACGTGTTGCCCTTTTTGATACTCCTCCCCACCTCGAGAATATGCGCGAGTAATGGATGCACTGTTAAAGGCATTTAAAGACTCATTATGAAAGGAGGGAGAGAGAGAGAGAGAGAGAGAGAGAAAATTTGGCAATTAGCCCTCGCACTTTTACATTGCCACCAACAAAAAAGGTCAATATTTTCCAACATTGCCGATAATATTGATTTATTTTAAAATGTTTTCTTAATTTAATAAAAATGTTTAAGTGAATATTGCCGTATTAATCAATTAAAGATCCGTGAATTATAAGTTAAGCAATATTTTTAAAGATTCTGGCAGGTAAATAAAGACATTTTAATAATTACTAGCTTACTGTAATTTTCTCGGAACTGGCCATGGCCAGCCGATTCGCCAGTTGAGTGCCAGCCAACTTTGATCAACTTTCTTTTTCTGGCCTAATCCAATTCAAGTGATTTTTGTATCTTTCGAAAACACTAGAAAAGCAGTATATTTTTTCCAACGGGATGAATATCTGATGAGAATTATTCGGATCGGTCAAAAATCAAGAAAGTTATGGCCATATACTGAATCGTCCTTTTCCGCACTCAACCGTCCCCAATCTCCTTTTGTGTTTTCGAGTCTCATTTTATTTCATAGGTTTTTCTATTTGTCATCCAGTCATGTGACATTATTTTATTTTTGTTCTAGAAAATCTTTATTTTTATATTTGTTCTTTTTAATTCAATATATTTTTAGCTATATTTTACATAACTATCCAATTCTCTATTCGAATATGCAGATATTCGTAAAAACGTTGACTGGAAAGACCATCACTCTTGAAGTTGAAGCCTCGGACACAATTGAAAATGTCAAGGCCAAAATTCAGGATAAGGAAGGTATCCCGCCGGACCAACAGCGTTTGGTTTGTGAATTTTTTCCATTATAATTAAAACAATTCAATTTCCAGATCTTCGCCGGTAAGCAGCTCGAGGACGGTCGCACTCTCGCGGACTACAATATCCAAAAGGAGTCTACTCTCCATTTGGTTTTGCGTCTCCGCGGTGGAATGCAAATTTTTGTGAAGACTCTTACGGGAAAGACTATTACTCTTGAAGTGGAAGCCTCGGATACGATTGAGAATGTTAAGGCTAAGATTCAGGACAAGGAGGGTATTCCGCCTGATCAGCAGCGTCTGGTTTGTTTTTTTCATTCTTTATTCTGACTTTTTTGTTAGATTTTTGCTGGAAAGCAGCTTGAAGATGGCAGAACTCTTGCGGATTATAACATTCAGAAGGAGTCTACACTCCATCTTGTTCTTCGTCTTCGCGGTGGAATGCAAATTTTCGTTAAGACGTTGACAGGCAAGACTATCACTCTTGAAGTTGAGGCATCGGATACAATTGAAAACGTCAAAGCTAAAATTCAAGACAAAGAGGGGATTCCGCCAGACCAGCAGCGTCTGGTTTGTTTGCCCTTTCTAATTCTTATCTTTCCATGTTTTTAGATCTTCGCTGGTAAACAGCTCGAAGACGGTCGTACCCTTGCAGACTACAACATTCAGAAGGAGTCTACACTCCATCTTGTTTTGCGTCTTCGTGGAGGAATGCAAATCTTTGTCAAGACTTTAACTGGAAAGACTATCACTCTTGAAGTTGAGGCATCTGACACGATTGAAAATGTCAAGGCCAAAATTCAAGACAAGGAGGGCATTCCACCAGATCAGCAGCGCTTGGTTTGGTTTTATTGTTTAACAGTTTCCTACTTTCCATTTTCAGATCTTCGCTGGCAAGCAGCTTGAGGATGGTCGCACTCTCGCTGACTACAACATCCAAAAGGAGTCCACGCTTCACTTGGTCTTGCGTCTTCGCGGAGGAGAGAACTAAGAAAATGAGATAAATAAAAGAAATTTTGTCGATGTTTCGGACATTATAATTCAATGATTTTTTGCTTATAAATTATAGATGCGATTTTTCTTTAAAAAAGCTAACTTTAAACCGTAATTTCTTTTTATCTTCTGAGAAGTTCATTTCTTTCAGACATCTAAAAAAAATCGCATCTCAACATAAATCGATACATAAATGCATAACCGATCATAAATAAAATTCATTTTCTTTTTTAAAAAGTTTATTTTTTTCTCTGTTGATGAGTTTGCATCGTATCTCCAAAGTTATCTCTCATTATTTGTTGGTTTATATGTGAAGATTCAGGTTTTGTCAAATCATGTCGTTAACACCATCTTCTAGCATCCCGGGACATCGCCGAACTTGGGACAAAACTGAATTTGAGATAAGGGCTCAAGAGCGTTTGGCAGCTGAAAAAGAAGCTTTTGATATTAAAAGAGGAGTAATTAAACCACCTAAAGGTCCTAAAGTGCAACGTGAATTGTTAAAACCTCGGGAATTTAAGGTTTTGTTTAAATAATTTATTAAAATATTTTCAAATTTAGTTGGATCTTGAATCAAAAGTTGGGAAACAAGTTGTTATAAATAAAACGACTCCTTCGGCTGAAAGTGGTGGATATTATTGCAATATCTGTGATTGTGTGGTTAAAGATTCTCTTAACTTTTTGGATCATATTAATGGGAAAAATCATCAAAGAAATTTGGGTATATTTCAAGTTTATTTTTACTTTTTTAAAAATTTAGGTTTTTCAATGCGTGTTAAGAAAAGTACAGTCGATGAAGTTCGTGAACGATTGGCATTAAAGAAGATTGAAAGTATTTTATTTTTAATTATAAATAATTAAAAAATTTTCAGAAGAATCTAAAGGTCGTGATAACGAAGAAGAAAGGCAGAATGATTTAAAAGAGGAAGAGGCGAAACTTGCTGATATGAAACGTCAACAACGAGAACGGCAAAAGGAACAAATTCGAAAAAGACTAGCTAAAGTATTTAATTACATTTTATAATTTTTATTTAAAATATTTCTTTTAGAATAATTTGGAAGAAATTTCTGCCGATCCTGAACTTTTGAGTATTATGGGAATTGGTAATTTTAGCAGTAAACAACAACAAAAGAAGAAAAAATGAAAGAGAATTGTGATTGAGGTATTGAATGGATTTTATTTTAAACTATATTATATTTTGATCTGTGAGTTCTAAAGTTTTTTCTGTATTAATTTTTTAAATTCTCTATTAAATAAAATTTCAAATAAGTGTCTGAGTTTTTCTTTATATTTATTTTTTGACTTTAGTATCTTCTATATTTTAATTTCTTAAATAAACTACTTATTAAGTTTTGTCTTCATCTATTTTCAAATGAAAATTACTCCCAAATTTGTCAATAACGAAATTTGCAAAGCAAATGAAAATGTTAGTTCGTCTGAAAGTGAATTGTCTAGCTTTGAAGATAAAATGATGGAGGATGATCCACAAATTGAGGATGATGAGCAAGAAGAGGAAGATGAATGTGACAATGAAGAGGAATGCACTATGTCCGATAATGAGATAGCTGCTTTACGAACTAGTAGGTTTTGTTAAAGTTTCGAAGTATAGGAATAATTGTGTATTGGTTGGTGTTCACTTGAGTTTTTAAATGTTGTCTTTCTGTCAGCTGTTCCGTTTAAATGGAAACAAAATTCTTTAATGTAACATAATTTTTCAGAAATCACTTCGTTCTCATTAAAAAAGTTGGCAGAATTAAAATCAAAGATTGGGTTGGAATTGTTCAATAAAATAATGTATGGAAAATCAATTAGTTCCTTTAATGAAGACAATTCAAATAAAATTCAATCAAAAAAGAGCGGCGGAACCCATGTAAATTAATTTTTATTTTTTTGTCAAAATATTTATAGAGACCTCGAGTAGAGTCATCTACTCGTCCTCCACCAAAATTTCGTTCAATTAGAGGTTTAGAAGTACGCAAGGCAAAAAATACTCATTTTGACCCTCGTTTTGCTGCTTCATCAGGAGAATTTGACCAAATAGCTTTTCACAGAGATTATTCTTTTATTGAAGATTTAAGGAAGAAAGATATTCAAGTAATTTACATTTATTAATATTTTTTTTAATTTTATTTTTGAGGAACTCCAAAATGCTTATAAACAAATAAAAAGAGAAGGGGGTAATCCTAAACAAATTGAAAGAATTAAAAGAAATTTGTTAAGATTGAGAAATCAGCAAAAGGTTTTTTTATTCTTCTAATAAATTAAAAAGTTTTTGTTTTTAGGATTATCAAGACCAAAAATTAAAAGAAGATATACTTTCTGATTTACGTCGAACAAATATTGAACGAATGAATAATGGAGAGAGGCCTATTTATTTAAATAATAGTATGTTTAGAAATTTTTAGTTTTAAATTGCTTAGGTCTTACAATTAGCGAAGTATCGACTGATATTTGAAAATAAAAATAAAATGATTTGATATTAAATTATTAATTTTAAATTTAATTTCCCGCTTTTAACCGTTCGTTCTTCAATTAATTTCCTATTTTAATTTATCTTTAATATTCCCTTTTTTACAGACGAACTAAAAGGAAAATTTATTGAACGAAAAAAACAACAAAAACATAACAACGATCAAAGAATTCAAAAAACATCAAAAACCAACAAAAATATAAATGAAGAAGAGATTGAAGAGAAAGGAAAGAATTAATTGGTAAACAATAAATGTTTGTTAAATAAATTTATATTTAAAAAATAAATTTTTTTCTTTATTTCTTATTTAAATATGTAAATTCTGGATAGAATTATTTAGATATTCTTTTTCTTTAATTTTATTCAAAAATATTTTTTATTTTCCACGTCGATTTATTGATGGTTCACATTTCTACTTATTCATCTTTTTTCCTCCCATTTAGTGAGTTGGCAAAAATTGTTTTGAAAAAGTTTTAAAAAATTATTTTTTTAAAGAATTAAACAAAAATGGGACAATTTCTTGAAAGGATTGACTCTAAAGATGAAAAAAATATTGTAAATGAATCAACAGATGTTCCAAAATGGGATTGTCTTTTATTAACTGCAAGAAATGAGAAACAACGAAATATATTTCTTCAACAACTTCAACATCTGCGTTTAAAAGAAAGAAATTTTTGTAAAGAATATGTTGTTTTGGCAGACAAACCGGAGGGGATAAGAATAGGTGAATTTAAATATATTTACTTATAAATATCTGATATTGAAAATGAGTGAGGAGGTTATTTTTGTTGGATTAGATGTGTTCTTAATAATAGGGTTTGGGCTTTCGAATCGAGCCGACGTTCGTTTCATTTTTTCGGGCCCCATTTTTATCGAACCGGGCCGTTCAGTCTTTCTCGGGCCAAAAATCGAAGCCCGATTCGATCTTTCATACCGAACCGGGCCCCCAGTTTGTTTAAGAATACTTTTCGGGCTATTCTATCGTTTCAATTTAAACGAATTTCTCTTAATTCAAAATCTAGTTTTTTCTTAATTTTAAATTCTTTTAAATATTTTATTTTTTAAAAGGTTCTGGTGGTGCAACTCTTAATGCACTTTTAATATTTGAACAACTTTTTGGAAATAATTTAAAAAATGTTTGTTTATTATTATTGCATAGTGGTGGCCTTAGGTATTAATTATAGTAATTAAAAATACAAAATTAAAATTTTCTTCAGTCAAAGAATTCCTCATGTTGCATTAACTGGAAAAGCATTTATGTTGATGCCTGACGGGAAAACTTTATTTGAACACAAATTAATTGCCTATAGGTTTAGAAAAAATAAAAATATTTTTAATTTAATTTTTTTAGAAAATTATTAAATTCTTTTTCTAATTTTGGCGGTTTTTTATTTATTACTTCAGCAGATGTTTTGGAATATTTCCCAAATGATTTTTGTATTTCTAATATTCCAAAAGAAATTTCTTTATTTTTGATAGCACATCAATCAAATTTAGATGTTGCTACACAACACGGAGTTTATGTTTTGAAAGAAAAAGGAGGTAAAAAAGGGAGGGGAAATTAATTTAAATTATTTTTTAAAAGAAGTTTATAATGTTTTGCAAAAACCAAGTATTGAACAATTAAAGAAAGTTAGTGGAGCTATTTTGGAACCAAATGAATTTAGTCCTTTTGAGACAGCATTAACTGATAGTTGCTATATTATTGGCCCGGAATTAATTGAAAATTTAATTAAAAATAGAAAAGAAAATGGTAAAAATTTTAAATAAAAGTTTGGGTGATGGAGAAAAGTCCTTTAAATGAATATTTTCTCTAAGTTTCAGACGTTCTTTGTTTTTCTGCAAATTCCCCAACTTTCGGGGTGGGTGACTACAATATTTTCGGCGAGTTTCTTTCTTATCAAGCCCAATTTTACAAATTGGGCTACAAACCCCTCTAATTCTCTCTAGTATATCCTAAAATCTTTTATTTGAACTATAAACTGTCCCTTTCTGTATATTTTTATTTAAAGGAGAAGTTATTTGTGAATTATGTTGTTATCGAGATTTTCTTTGTCCAATAGGATCTGGACCAAATGAACAAAAGAATATTCATTTTATAAATAAAAATGTTGAATTATTTAAATGGCAACAAATTCTTTGGTTAGAACAAAATAAATTTTTTAAAGAAAAAATTTATTTTCAAAGGAATATATTTAATAAAATAAATCCACAAATTATTTCTTTGGGAATTAATTCATTCTTTCATTTTGGAACTGTTGGAGAATTACTTGAACACTTTTTTGATGAAAATAGTGCTTTTAAAAAGAAATTTTTGCCTAATATTGGAGAAATGGGGAATTTGGCTAATTGTTTAATAGAAAAACCAGAAAATGTAATTAATTTAAATATATTTTAAAAAATATTTTTTGAAAAAAACTTTTCCGAAAGTTTTTAGGAAATTTAAAATAATTTTTCTCCTTCCCCGCAGCTTTTCTTTTGCCTAATTTGCATAATAGGCAATTTTATTTCCATATTCCTATTTTAAGAAAAATATTAACAAATTACAATTTTTTGTTTCTCATTTATTTTAACTGAAAATTTCGTTTAATAGAAATTGGTAGAAAATATTAATTTTGACTAAAAGTTTGTTAAAAAAATTTTTAGATTTCTCAAAAAAGTTTTCTTGAATGGTGCAAAATAAATTCCAATTGTACTATAGAAGATAATTGTATTTTAAGTGGTGTTGTTTATGAAGAACAAACTCCAATTTATATAAAGTCTGGTATGTGTATTTGTACATTTCCAATTGGTGAAGAAGAAGAGGGGAATGGAGGAAATGAAGGTTACAAAAAATAAAAAAATTTTATTTTCTTTTATTTTTTTAGAATTAAATTATGTTACGGTTATTTTTCACATAGAAGATGATTTAAAAAGAAAAACATCAAAAGAAGAAAATCTTAAATGGTTTGGACATTCTATTAAATCGTTAAAAGAAGAGGAGGATAATTCTCTTTGGAATTGTCCACTTTTCTCTTTTTACCCAACAGCTTCTAAATCTTTTTTAAAAACAATTGAAAGAATAAATTTTGGATTAAAGTTTGTAAATTTATTTTTAATTAAAAGAAATTTTATCTTTTAGTGATTCAACCCCTTTATTTTCCATTGCTCAAGTTTTAGAAAAAGCAAATGTTAACAAAATGTTAATGGAAAGAAAAAAATTATTGGAAGAAAAAATTGTGTGATTAATCAATTTTTTGTAAAAAAAATAATTTTATCTTAATGTTTTCTGTGATATTTTTTTATTTTGTAAAAAACAATAAATTTTCTCGCCTGTCATTTAAAAAGATTGTTATCTCAAATTTTATTTTATTGAATGGCTCTTTGGCCGAAATGTTGCGTTACTTTTTATATTTTAATTTTTCTAAACAAAACTAAATTTATTGAGACAAATATTTACAAATGTTTTTTATGCTTTATTGGAAAAAAGTAGCGAAAAATCCATATTTTTTTGTTTAACGTGAAAGACAATTTACTAAGGGAACATTAACTAAATTTTCAAAAGGAATTACCAAAACTTAATAACTCATTCCTTCTTTCCCCTTTGCATTGTATTATATTTAATAAATTTTTTTCAGAATTTACACCTTAATTAACGCTAATTATAATGTTGGAGCATCAATGCAACCAAAATTTGGATCAACTCTTTACGGTATATCGAGTAAATCCTTTCAATCAAAAAACCTTTTATTTAGGCACTTCATGGAGTTAAATTGGCTATATTTGACCCTTTATTTTGTGAGCAAAAAATAAAATCGGAACTTCCATTTTTGGTTGCTAGAAATGCTGTCGCTTGGTCTTATGAAGAGCAAAAGCAATTAGTTGATGAATATATTAACAAGAAGGATAGAACATCTCCAATTCCGGAAAGGTAGATTTTTAGAAAAATGTGTGAATAAAATTTTTTAGAATAATCCCTTCGGGAAGGGAAAATCTCAAGGGGTTAGTTGGATAGCAAAAATGATTTCCCCACAACCTCCTTTTTTCTGATACAAACTTAGAAAATTAAAAACTTCAATATTTAGACAACCAATCAATCTTAAAAACGAGAAAACTTCAAAAGAACGTCAAAAGCAAATAAAAGAAAATAAGAGAATCCAGACTGAAGCTAAAATACAGGCGATGATTGAAGAATTCAAAAAACTTAATTTGTGCTCTTAAAAAGTACCATGAGAAGAGGACCAATAATTTTACGAGTATTATTCTTAAATTTAGATGTATAGACATGGCCATATTTTTGATATTTTTAAAATTTCAGACATAGTTATTATGGCCTCGTCTATATACCGTGTTTATTCTAATAGACTGGCCGCCATTCTATTTTTTAATACCCCTAAAAATGGCCATTCTATTGGAGAGGCCATTCTATTAGAATAAATACGGTATCTAACATATATAATTTATCACTTTCTCACATTAGCATGTATTCAAACAATTTTTTGTCATTTTGATAAAATATTTTACTTAAAAAATGAAAGAAAAATAAAACTAGAAAGGTTTTCTGATTTTAAACTAATGTTTCAAAATATGTGAGCAGGTAGCCAACAATGGGTCGAAAATGGAAAACAATTGCATAGTGAAAGTACCACTTTTTATTTAATATGGGGTAATTTGCTGTTTCTGCAAGTTATCAATATCTGGTGTATATCCCCCTTCCTTACCAAAATTAACCCTTATAAATACCTAGCTCTGGATAGTCATTTATTTGCAAAATAAATTAAATAAATAAAACAAAAAAACTTTAAACTTTTGGACTGTTTTTAGACTTCTGATTATTATTTTCAACATTTTCTTTGTCTCCATTCAAGCACCGAGAATTTTTGTTTTGAATTGTTGTATTAACCGATAATGACCTAATTTTCTCCAAAAATCGTTCCTCTTCTCTTTCAGAGTCCTAAAAATAAAAATTGGGGGTTATTTTAATTTTCAGTTGAATAAAACAAAAAAGGAAGTTTTCCATAAAATAAATTTTTTCTTAAAACAACGATTTTTTAAATTTCTTAAAAAAGGATTAGAAGAGATATCTATTCCTTATTTAAAAAAATAAAAAAACCTCTTTTTCTTCCTCCTCCTCATCACTAGAAGATTCTTCTATATTATCTGTAACCTTCAATTCATTAATTCCTTTAACCAATTGTGCATCAACATAAACATTATTTTTTAAAATTTCCTTAAATTCTTTCTTTAATATTTTTATAAATTCTCTAAAAACCTCTTTCTCCAAACATTTATTTATTTTCAAAAAATTTTTCCATTCATCCCCTTCCGGTAATTTAAATTCTTTTAATTTTGTTGACATTAGACGAAGAGAATTAATTTGTTGTTCTTCAGTATCTAATTGAATAGCTATAGCCCTTGAAAGACACATACAACGATCAGAACAAAATTTGTTTGGTTCGGCTTCGAGTGGTAAAAACTTTAAGGAAATTAATTATGAATTCTATTTAAAGAAAATTTAAAAGAAAAAATCTAAAAAAAATTATAAAAAAATTTTTTTTTAATTTTCATTCAATTATTTCCCCAAAATAATTTAAATCTTTTTTTTCCAAAATATCATTTTAAAAAGAACCTCTCTTCTCCCTTCCCGTTCCATCCAAACAAATTTCCGTCTAAAATCAATAGTTAATATATTCTCGCAAATAGGGTAACCACATATTTTCCCCAAAAAACGTTCTTCAATTACTTCTGCCCACGAATGTAAATCCAACACTTGCAACTTTAATATTTTTTTAAAAATTATTTAAAAAAATTATTTACATAATTAAACATTTCCTTTTCATTAACTGGTTCAATAAGTGCACATATTGCTTCGTAAACAGTCCTTTTCCTTTTCTCAGCAAGTTTAATATTTTCTCGTTGTTCTTCTATTTGTTTTAATAATTTAGTTGAAGTTATTTTTATTGGTTTGGTTGAAGATTCTTGTTGTTTATTGTTCATTTTCTTTATAAAAATCTCGAATAATTAAAAAAAATTTAGAAAATCGAAAAAATCTAAAAATAAAAAAAGTTGCCAAATAAAATGACAAATCGTCCCAACGGAAAATTTTAAATTTTTGATAAAAATTGATAACACGTAAATTAGTATTCTTCGAGAAAATTATTTTAAAGACAAATTTAACTACCTTAAAGAACTTCTGTAAAACTAGAGATACTTGTGAGAAGTGAAAGACATTCTATTCAAAACTTTTTGAAAAATCATTTCTTATGCTGGTTTTGCACGGTTATTTTGATGAATGTTCTTTGTTTGTTAATTAATGTTTATTTTCATTTTAAGCTAAATACCCTCTTGTTGTAAATAAAAGCTTTTAGATTTCATGAAGAATACCATGGTAACGATACTAATTTAAATAGAGAATGGAATTGGGGGATTAAAAAATTACCCCAAATATGTGGAAGTAAACAAATACACTTTTAATTAACACAAACAGTTAACCCCTTTTAGTTATTTTTCATTGAAATTAAAATAAATTTCTTCAACTACATAAATAAAAAATAAAAAAAACTTTCCAACGTACCACACAGCGTTGTCAAGAATCGGAAGAGAGGATGGGATTTCACCTCTCTTGTTAATTTAAAAGGCCAGTCTAAAAGGTTGCACATACCTAATATTTTTACTCTTGCGAGACTAGACTGTTAGGAGAGAATAAAAATTCTTTGTAGTCAGTCAATGGGGATCGTCAGTTGTTCTTCTTCCTCTTCTCAAATTTTCATTTTCTCCCTGTCGCGCTTTTTTCTATCCTCATCAAAAATGAATGAATTTTACTAAAAATTTATAATCCTCTTGTACATTTTGTAGAGAAAAATATCAGCAACTTGTTATTCTCACTTATTATTAACCCCATCATTCTAAAAGTTTTCAATTTTTTCACTTTTATTTATTCTCCATAAATTCTTTTTACGTTGATCATGAATTTTGTTACGAATTTGTAACGATATTCAAAACAAATTGTATTAAATCCCAGTTTCAGAAAGTTTGCATTTTGATTTTATTTTCCTACTTTTGATAGTTTTTATTTTTTGTTTCATGAGCAGACGTGGTTGCTTACCCCTTCAATCTTTTTAAAATAAGTGAATACGTTGATATGCAAACTTTGTTTAAACAATTACATATATTTTTTCTTATTTCTCCTTCATTTATTCCTCAATTTTATACATAAATATTTTTAGACAATTAAAACGTTTATTTCCTTCAAACAAAGCAACCATGACTGTTCCTCCCGATGTTGTCGAGAAGATTGAAGCTGGATACAAAAAGTTGCAGGTAATGTAAGAGCATTTGAGCTCAGATTCTTTTTCAATTTTTAGGAGGCGCCGGAGTGCAAGTCTCTTCTCAAGAAGTACTTCACTAAAGAAGTTATGGACCAATGTAAAGGGCTCAAAACTAAACTTGGTGCGAACTTGCTTGATGTGATCCAGTCTGGGGTTGCGAATCTTGATAGCGGTGTTGGTGTTTATGCGCCTGATGCTGAGTCCTATACTCTCTTCAAACCGCTTTTTGACCCGATTATTCAAGTTGCTCTAAAAGTTTTCGAGACATTTTACTTTTTTTTCAGGACTACCACAATGGATTTGGACCTAACCAGAAGCAGCCTCAAACTGATTTGGGTGAAGGAAAGACTCAGCTTTTGCCTGATCTGGATCCTGAGGGTAAATTCATCAACTCGACGCGTGTTCGTTGTGGCCGTTCTCTTCAAGTTTTTGTTAAAGTATTTGAAAACTTATTTTTCTTTTGCAGGGATATCCATTCAATCCATGCTTAACCAAGGAAAACTATACAGAAATGCAGGACAAGGTTAAGGGTGTCTTTGACCAGCTTAAGTCTGGTGAGTTTCTTCAATTTATTTTTTCATTTATATTTAATATTCAGATCCCGAGCTTGGTGGGACCTATTATCCTTTGGAGGGGATGACCAAAGAAGTTCAAACCCAGTTGATCAAGGATCATTTCCTGTTCAAAGAAGGAGATCGCTTTTTGCAAGCCGCGAATGCTTGTCGTTACTGGCCAACGGGACGTGGTATTTACCATAATGACAAGAAGGCTAATCTAACAAAATTTTTATTTAATTTTACTTAAATTTTTTAGACTTTCCTTGTTTGGGTGAATGAGGAGGATCATCTCCGAATTATTTCTATGCAAAATGGAGGCAATGTTGGGCAAGTGCTTGAGCGATTGATCAAAGGAGTTAAGGCGATTGAGACAAAAGTCCCGTTCTCTCGTGATGATCGTCTTGGGTGGCTTACTTTTTGCCCTTCTAACTTGGTTTGCTTTGAATCTGCTGTAGCATTTTGATTTGCCTTTAAGGGAACAACTGTTCGTGCCTCCGTACATATCAAATTGCCGAAGATTAGCGCTAAACCAGATTTCAAAAAGTTTTAAATTTTCAAGAGAAATATTTGAACTGTTTTTTAAGGATCTGTGATGAGATGAAGTTGCAAATTCGGGGTATTCACGGTGAGCATTCGGAGACTGAGGGTGGCGTCTACGACATCTCTAACAAAGCTCGCCTTGGGCTTACCGAATTTGAGGGTAAATTAATTTATAAAATGATTATAGTTTATCTGAAATATAATCAAAATATGTTTACTTTCTTAAAATTTTAAAGAATTTATTTTTTCATTTTCAGCTGTCAAGCAGATGTACGACGGTGTGAAGAAGTTGATTGAACTTGAGAAAGCTGCCTAAATGTGAGGGTGATTATAGGAAGAAAATTAATTTTATAGGGGACAAAATTTTTAAATAAAAATGGATACTTAAAATTATAGAAAAGATACTCTTTTGAATATTATTTTGGATATTATTTGTGTTTTTGTCGGTATTTGCGAGTAAATTGTATAATTAAATTTTAAAAATTTTATTGAATAACTTATCCTTTTTTGAATTTTGAACTTTCCAAAAGGCAAAATAGAATTTGTGAAATTTAAATAAAATTCTACCATTTCTGTGCCCTTTTATTTTTAACATTAAAAATAAATTTATTTAGGCGTTGATTCACTCAAATTTTAGCATTTTACATTGACATTTTCTTAAATACAAATATTAATTCCCTCCCATATTTTGTCTTTCTTATTCACAACATTTATTATTTTAAATTTCTTTCAATTTAAGGTTTAGTTAAAATTTATTTGAGAAGTTTGATAAAAAATTAATTTTAATTTTTAGTTAATATTAATTTTCTTTAATTTATTTTAAGAAAATGTCGTCACAATCAAATATTTTAAATCCACTTTCTGCTGCTCGTCGTAAAAAATTTAAATGTTCATTTTTCTGCTTTAGAACATCTGTTGAAGTATTTTAAAATTAATTAAAAATTTTACAAAAATAAATTTTTAATTAAAAGGATGCAACATTCTTTATATCCGTTTTTTGTATTTTATCTTCAATTTTAATTTTTGTTCTCCATTCAAAATCGAGTCAATTTTTAAATGATGAAATGTTTACAGATAAAGTATTCATTACAACAACATTTTTTGTAATTATAAATGTTTTTGTAATTATTGCTTTGTTTGCAAGAATTGCTGCTTTCCTTTGGCCTTTTATTATTATTCAAGTAAAAAAAAGAAATTTAAATTTCAAAAAAATTTTTGGAAGAAAATTAGGTGTATAGGTATACCTTTACAGAGGATAAAATATAATAAAATTATGCCCCACTAAATAATATACCCTATTTAAATTAATTTGTTTGGGTTAAATTAAAAATTTAAATTCTGTTTTAGAACATTAAAAAACTATTAGTGTTTTTAGGCAATTGGAATACTTATTAACAGCAATTTTCTTTTTATTATGTCAATGACTGTTTTCGAAACATTTTTGAATACTTTAAAGGGATATTCTTGTAAATATTTATTTTTATTTCTAAATTAATTTAAATTATTTTCAGTTAAAATTTCAATAGATCAACAATATCGATTTGAAAAATTAAATGGATTCGTAGTTTTGGGGCTAATATTTTTATTTCAACTGAAGATTTTTTCGATTATTTGGGGTTCCTACAATGCAATAAAATTTGAGCAAATAACAAAAAAATTGGCTGAAGAATTAGAGAATATTAAAATTGAGGAGAATAACAAGAAAATATCTACTTTAAATACATCCAAAATAGTTAATGATGAAAAATTTATTATGCCTTGAAAAATTAGAATGAGGAAAATAATTTTAAATTAACCAAATCTAAATTTTTAAATACAAATAATCCAAAAATATTAAAATTTTTATTGAATTTGTAATATTAAAAGCTCTAATAATAATTATTCAAATAAAAATGTCGCTACTTTATAAATACTTTAATATATGAGGAAACCATAAGGATGTAAGCTTAAAAATTTTTTTATTAAAAGCAATCTTGCACTTTAAATTATACAAACAAATTTCACTGAAATAGATTGCCGTTATTATCCGTTATTCTAATAAAATCATAAAAACAAAAATTTATTTTAAAATAAAATTTTCTACAAATTTAGGTATTCTAAAAAATTAAAGTGGCATGAAAGAATAATATAAAATGCGGCACAGATCCAAAGACTGACTAGATCGAGGATCAATTAAAAAAATTTATTCCCAATAATCAGTTCGAGTTTTGGTATAATATTGAAGTAATAATTTCAGTTAAAGCAGGATTTATTAGAAAAATAGAAAAACTTATGTAGAAATTTCATCTTTTTTCAAATTCTCGAACTGATTTTAAATATTAATCTTTAAACAAATTATAGTATGTACTCTTCCGTAAACTTAAAGCATTAAATTTTTAATCATTATTATTTGCATTTCCCAATAATTGCCTTTTAACAAGTTTATTATAAAGACCTTCAGGTTGTTCCATTAATTCAGAATGAGAACCCATCTAAAAAATATAAAACAAAATTAAATTCACTTTTTCTATCACCAACTAACCTGAACAATATTTCCTTCATCCAAAACAATAATTCTATCAGCTCTTTCAACAGTAGAGAGGCGATGAGCAATTAAAATAACTGTTCTACCTTTTTTACATAACATTATAGATTCTTGAATAACATGTTCACTTTCAGAATCTAAAGCTGAAGTTGCTTCATCCAAAATTAAAACAACAGGGTTTCGAACAAGCGCCCTAGCAATTGCTATTCTTTGTTTTTGACCACCTTTATAATTTTTAAATTCTTCAAAGTTTTCAAAAAAATATTTTTACCACTCATTTGAACACCATTTTCTCCACATTTTGTTTCATATCCAAATTCACTATTAATTACAAAATTATGAATATTAGCTAATTTTGCAGCCTTCATCACATCATCTAATGTATATTCATTTTCTTCACATCCATATAAAATATTTTCACGAACAGAACAAGCATAAAGAGTTGGCTCTTGAGAAACTAGCGAAACCTAAAACAAAAACTTTTTAAATTAAAAAAAGTTATCCTTACAATTTTATGAAAATATCTATGTTCATATTGTTCGATTGGATAATCATCTAAAAGAATTTGACCAAGAAGTGGTTCATAAAAATGTTCCAGTAGAGCGATTATACTTGATTTACCAGCACCGCTTGGTCCTACCAAAGCAACAACTTCACCGGGAAGAATTGAAAAAGAAAGATCCTTAAATAATCAAGTTAACAACGAGATAACAAAAGATTTTCAAATAGAAATAACCTTTAAAACGTGAGTATTTGGTCGTGTAGGATATGAGAAACCGACTTGACAAAATTCAATTTTTCCAAGAACCTTAAATTCTTTTTAACAAAAACTTTAAAAAACAAAAAAACCTTTTCTGGCATTAATTCTCCTTTGTCTAATTTTATTTTTGGTTCTCTTTTTATATATTCAAAAACTTTACGCGAAGCTCCAACACATTCCATTAAACTAGTCCCAACACTGTTCAACATATAAAAATTCTCTCCAAGTTGTAATTGATATAACATAAATGCAAGCCTAGAAATTAAAATACAAAATTAAAAATTATTTGAGGAAAAGCAGGAAGCAATTTACAAAGGAAGTATTTAAAAAGAAAAAAAATTAGTTAAAGCTAAATTCAAAATACATTTGATCAGCAGTCATTCGTCCAGAAAGAACCAAATGCCCGCCATAAGAGAGAATAGCTACAAGAATACAATTATTTGCAAATTCATTAACCCATTGGAATCCAGCCAATGCCATAGATTTTTTCTAAAATTTATTTCTGCTAAAAGGAAATTAAAATTTAAACCTTATTAATTTCAAGCGTTCGAAATAAGTGCCATCCAAAACGATCTTTCTCTTTTTGTTCAGAAGCAAATGCACGGATATTTCGCATGCAGCCAATAACCTCTTCAGCAACACGATTTGCATCAGATTTTGTTTTTTGTGTTTTTTCACTTAAACTCTAAAAGGAAATAACTAAATAAATTAAAGAAATGCCAGTAATCAGAAAAACTTTGTTTTACTTTTTTGTTTTAAGAAAAGGATTGTTTAATTATTTAATTAAAACTAACATCATAATAAGAACTGTAAAGTTTTGTAAAAAATGTGATTGGAGGAATGACAATAACAGTTAAAAGAGTTAAACGCCAACTCATTCCCATCATAAAAACAACTGATCCAATAACCATCAAACCATTCCTTAGCAAAATATTCACATTTGTAGATATTGTTGCTGACATTGTCTTTAAAATTAAATTGAAAGAAAAAAAATATTTAAAGATTAAATTTACCTCACAATCTGAAATTAAACGAGAAAGTATTTCGCCTGTCTGTGCTTGATCAAAAAAAGCAATTTCTTGAGAAATAATTGAACTAAATAAATCTCTTCTCATTAAAAGATTAATTTGTGCAGTAGTGTAATTAAGAGTCCCAGCACGAAGACCACCAAAAAGGGTTACAATCTAAAAATTAAATTTAATGAAGAAACAAATAAAAAGTAAAAAATATACCAAAAGAAGCAAAGACATAAATAAAACAGATTCGAAAAATTGATGAACATCCCTTGTATGAACAATACCCGAAATAACTTGAGCAGTGTAAAGAGGTACAAAAACCCTAGCTGAAAAAAGTATTTTTGAAAAAAAATCGAAAAAGAAGTTCATACCAGAGGCATAAATAACCAAAAATAGAAATCCAACAAGTAGCCAATTCCAAACATATAAACAATAACTAAGCAAGTAACGAATATGTTCCCAGGTAGAAACACGAAGAGGTAAAAGGTTAGAGCTTTGTTGATGCCCATTTAAAGAAGAAAAATTTGAGGAAGTACCACCATTATTTATATTTAAATTATCAGAATTATTGAGCAATGGATGATAAGGCGAAGTTGGATCCAAATTTGAATAACGAGAAAGACTGAAAAAAAATTAAATTTAAATTAAAAGGACTGTAAAATTTAAAATATTTACCAAAGTTTCCGAAACAAACAAAATTCGTATAAAGCATGGACACAAATAAATGAAACAATATTCCAAATAATACTTATCCAAACACCAAGAAAATGCAATTGCTTTTCAAACTCAGAAAAAGCAAGTAATTTGATGAGAGAAAATGAAAAGTTGCAGATTTGGAGTCCAATTAGAAAAAAATTTAAAAATTTTGGAAATATTTCTTCTGAATTGTCTCTCTGAAGAGTAGGAGAGCGAAAGTATATAACCGGAACAAAAAATAGAAGAAGAGATCTAAGCAGGAGTAAAGGTAAAAAATCGAATGGCGAAGAGATGAAAGAATATCCATCTAAATAATTTAAGGGAAAATTTTGTAATGGATATGTACATTAATTTAAAATTAGAAATTAAAATACCTACCTTTTAACGATATATAGTCCCATATTCGAGATATATTTAGATTAGAGAAAGGGCGATGATCATCATAAAATCCAAGTGATAAAACTGTCACGGATAAATCAAAAATAAACAAAGAAAAGCAAAGTAAAACAACACACAGAAGTCGGCTGCAGAAAGGAGTTAAAATTAGAAAAGTTGGCATTACATTTGTTAAGCAAATCTGCAATGAATATGTCTAAATTTTTGTAAAAATGCGTTAAAAAGTAAACGAATGAAACGAGGGTTGTTCTTAACGTTGGCGACTAAGTGACGCGAGGTTAAAGACCTCGCGATTACATGATCCTCAACTAACAAAACCCGCAATTGTTATATCCGCAATTGTCGCATCCGCAATTGTCGTACACCAACTTTAACGGGTACGGCCCACTATGGCGCGGGACACTATGGCGCTTGCGCCATAGTGTCCGTGTCACAACTTTAACAACACACCCTATCTAGTCGCAAGAATCGCAGCTACACAACCCATTCATTCGTAAAGAATGCTTATGTGTTGAATCCGCAAGAGGCGCATGTCGCAAATTGCACAGTAGGGTTCTGACTTTGCGAAGGGCCGTCCTTTATTGATGTAACAATAAATATTTAAGTGGTTCCAATAGATTAGGTAACTAGTTTATGTAGGCACGAACGACATTACTTTTGTTTGACTATTTTAAATTAAAGTTTTATAGTTTGATTATCAAAAAGATTACTACTGAATCATATGAAATCTCTGTCTATGTCTAAGAAGCGAAAGCTCTCTTCTTCTAGTGATAGTTCTGATGACGATGACATTCCAGTCAAGGATACGAAGACCATTTTGAAACCACCAGCCAAGAAGCCTGTAAAGGTTATTCTCTTTATTAGTTTTTTATCTTAATTTATAGAATAAGGGTTCATCTTCTGAGGATAGCTCTCATGATATTTCGGCTTCCAAAAAATCCACGGCCAAGGTTACTGCGGTTACTGCAAAGAATGTTGGAAACAAATTGTCTGGGACTAACAAAAGGAATCATCAACCCTCTTCTTCTGAAGATAGTTCTGATGACGATATTCCAGTAAAGAATACGAAGACCGTTTTAAAACCACCAACCAAGAAGCCGTTAAAGGTTTCATCCATTATCTTGTTTTTTTTATTTTAATTTATAGAATAAGGGTTCATCTTCCGAGGATAGCTCTGATGATGTTTTGGTATCTAATAAATCCATGGCTTCAAAAACGGTTGGAAACAATTTGTCTGGGACTAACATTAAGAATCGAAAATCCTCTTCTTCTGAAGATAGTTCTGATGATGAGGATATTCCAGTCAAGGATACGAAGACTATTATGAAGGCACAAGCCAAAACTCTTTCGTTAAAGGTTTTTAACTTTGCTTTTTATGTCTTATTGTAATTTATAGAATAATGATTCATCTTCCGAGGAAAGTTCTGATAATGTTTTGGCGTCTAAAAATTCTGCTGCCAATGGTACTTTAAAGTCTATTGGGAACAATTTGCCTGCGACTAACATTAAGAATCGAGAACCCTCTTCTTCTGAAGGCAGTTCTGATGATGAGGATATTCCAGTCAAGGATACGAATACCATTTTAAAACCACCAACCAAGAAGCTTTTAAAGGTTTATCTATATTTAGTTTTTTATTTTAATTTATAGAATAAGGATTCATCCTCGGAGGACAGCTCTGCTGATATTTTGGCTCCTAAAAAATCCACAGCAAAAATTACTGCGGATACTTCAAAGACTGTTGGAAGCCATTTGTCTGGGACTAACATCAAGAAACGAAAACCCTCTTCTTCTGAAGATAGTTCTGATGACGATATCCCAGTAAAGGATACGAAGACTATTTTAAAACCACCAACCAAAAAGCCGTTAAAGGTTTAATTCATTATCTTGTTTTTTTATTTTAATTTAATAAGGGTTCATCTTCCGAGGATAGCTCTGATGATGTTCCGGCGTCTAAAAATTCCATGGCCAAGGTTATTACAAAAACGGTTGGAAACAATTTGCCTGCGACTAACATTAGGAATCGAAAATCCTCTTCCGAAGACAGTTCTGATGATGAGGATATTCCAGTCAAGGATACGAAGACTATTATGAAGCCACAAACCAAAACTCTTTCTTCTAAGGTTTCATTCCTTTGATTTTTTTGTTTTATTGTAATTTATAGAATAAGGGTTCATCCTCCGAGGACAGCTCTGATGATGTTTTGGTGTCTAAAAAATCTGCTGCCAATGTTACTTCAAAGTCTATTGGGAACAATTTGCTTACGACTAACATTAAGAATCGAGAACCCTCTTCTTCTGAAGGCAGTTCTGATGATGAGGATATTCCAGTCAAGGATACGAAGGCCATTTTAAAAACACCAACCAAGAAGCTTTTAAAGGTTTATCTATATTTAGTTTTTTTATTTTAATTTATAGAATAAGGATTCATCCTCGGAGGACAGCTCTGCTGATATTTTGGCTCCTAAAAAATCCATGGCCAAAATTACTGCGGATATTTTAAAGACTGTTGGAAGCAAGTTGTCTGGGACTAACATTAAGAATCGAAAATCCTCTTCTTCTGAAAATAGTTCTGATGACGATATTCCAGTAAAGGATACGAAGACTATTTTAAAACCACCAACCAAAAAGCCGTTAAAGGTTTAATTCATTATCTTGTTTTTTTTATTTTAATTTAAGAATAAGGGTTCATGTTCCGAGGATAGCTCTGATGATGTTCCGGCGTCTAAAAATTCCATGGCCAAGGTTATTTCAAAAACGGTTGGAAACAATTTGCCTGCGACTATCATCAGGAATCGAAAATCCTCTTCCGAGGACAGTTCTGATGATGAGGATATTCCAGTCAAGGATACGAAGACTATTATGAAGCCACAAACCAAAACTCTTTCTTCTAAGGTTTCATTCCTTTGATTTTTTTGTTTTATTGTAATTTATAGAATAAGGGCTCATCCTCCGAGGACAGCTCTGATGATGTTTTGGTGTCTAAAAAATCTGCTGCCAATGTTACTTCAAAGTCTATTGGGAACAATTTGCTTACGACTAACATTAAGAATCGAGAACCCTCTTCTTCTGAAGGCAGTTCTGATGATGAGGATATTCCAGTCAAGGATACGAAGGCCATTTTAAAACCACCATCCAAGAAGCTTTTAAAGGTTTATCTATATTTAGTTTTTTATTTTAATTTATAGAATAAGGGTTCATCTTCTGAGGGTAGCTCTGATGATATTTCGGCTTCCAAAAAATCCACGGCCAAGGTTACTGCAAAGAATGTTGGAAACAAATTGTCTGGGACTAACAAAAGGAATCATCAACCCTCTTCTTCTGAAGATAGTTCTGATGACGATATTCCAGTAAAGGATACGAAGACCGTTTTAAAACCACCAACTAAGAAGCCGTTAAAGGTTTCATCCATTATCTTGTTTTTTTATTTTAATTTAAGAATAAGGGTTCATCTTCCGAGGATAGCTCTGATGATGTTCCGGCGTTTAAAAATTCCATGGCTTCAAAAACGGTTGGAAACAATTTGTCTGGGACTAACATTAAGAATCGAAAATCCTCTTCTTCTGAAGATAGTTCTGATGATGAGGATATTCCAGTCAAGGATACGAAGACTATTATGAAGGCACAAGCCAAGACTCTTTCGTTAAAGGTTTTATAACTTTGCTTTTTATGTCTTATTATAATTTATAGAATAATGATTCATCTTTCGAGGAAAGTTCTGGTGAAGTTTTAGCTTCTAAAAATACTATGTCAAATGGTACTTCAAAGTCTGCTGTGAACAATTCGTCTAGAACTACGAATTCCTCTTTTACTTCAAATTCTTGGGGTGCTAAAGCTGCAAAAGATTTCAAAAATTTGAGCGGTAAGAATTTTCGACATGAGAAGACTAAAAAGAAACGTGGAAGCTATTCTGGTGGTAAGATCGACACTTTGATTAATTCTATTAAATTTGATGATTGAGTGAGCATTTTGGTTGTTTTTGTTAATATATATCTACTGTTGTTTTTTAAATATATATTTTAGAATAATAAATGTTACTATATTCTCATAAATACCTTAATTGTTTTTTTCAATATTTATTTTTATTTCTGAACTGTGTATTTTTTTTAATTTTTTAGCTTATTTTTCAAATTACTTTTATTTCAATGACTGAGAATATATCTGTTGATTCTTCGGTTAATGGCACGCCATCAATTAAGAAACATCAGGCATTTTTAAACTGTCAAAAAATGATTAACCGTTATGTTATCACTCTTGGCCTTACACAAACAAAGGTAAACTGTTTTCGATTTAGTTTTATAAGGTTTTCCCAGGTTTTTGTATACTGCCCTATGCTTCCTTCCCCATACCGATTAACGGCTTGTCTGAAATACTGCTTTTTCCAGACAGAATTTTATTTAGCTTCGTTTTTAATTGAATGACATTTTAGATTTTTGAAAAATGCTGTGCTTCACCCGACGCTGAAAATTTCGTGAAAGATGACTTTTTCAATTTAAACAGAATTGATGAACATTGTTCCTTGTGTGTAAATTTTGCAAAATCATGTGAAAGGTGCTCCACTAGTCTCGAGGTTTGATTTATTAACCTCTGATGGATTGCTTATTTTTTTGTTAAGCAATTTAAAATATTGTATAATACATTTTCTTATAACCATTATTTCAATAATTTTATTAAATAAACAGGAATTGATCAAAGCTTGGGTAGATCTGATTCAAAGTTTACGGCAGAATTATAATCCTATAACTCGCGAAGCAATTCAAGCAAGCCGTTTTCTCGTTCACTTCATTATTGGTTTTTGTCTACTCGAAGCAAAAGTTTTGTTTATTTTTTATTGTTTATTAAAACTTTATTTTAGTATTATGAGGCTATTTATTGTGCATGGGAGCATTTAAAGTTTTGTAATTTTGAGGATGTAACTTGTAGGTTAGTGTGCTTCATGTTTTCTTATCGTTTGGAGGACTGGCAACTACTTGGAATTTTCTTAGAGAAAGAAAAACCAAATATACGGAAGGCTCCATTTACTGCTGGATATTTACTTATTTTGGAATGTTTTGACCTTGCCTATCGATTCCATACAGAAACGAATGCAGACAAACAGGTGTGTTTATATCAAACTGAAAATTTTTTAAACGTTTTTTTGGATAGATACTTATAGCTGATGAAGTACTAGCTAAACTCGCGGAAGTTTGTAAAGATGATAGGAGAACTTTTCTTTACACTCAATCAAAATCAATTCTTCGCTCTGTCCTCGTTCTTTCTAGTCGATTACCAAATTCTGATATCAAAAAGGTTTATATTTTAAATAAATATTTGTTATTATAATACAAAATAGTATAATGATCCAATTTATCAACGCGAAATGGAAGTATCGCATGCCTCACTCATCTTGCGTACTTATGATTCTGATTATTTTAGAGGGAACTTTTCACCGATTCAAAACAAAATGAAATCACCTGAAGGATTTTGTATGTTTCTGAAAATTTTTAAATCTATGTTGACTCTTTGCATTCAGTAAAATTTTGTATGGCATTTGTCGACTACATGGAAATCAGCATTAGTTACTGTTGGGATTGCTGGGATGTTGGTTTACTTCGAGAAGCTGAGAGTTCTTCTATTGCTTTGTGGCGAAACAATTTAATTTTCGGAAACGCTTATTGGTGATCTTTTTAAATTTTTTACTTTCCCCATTTTCATGTTTATAGGACTCTTCGTTCTTTATCTTTTCTCTTCTTTTTAAAATCTTCAATTGCTTATGATTCTCATGTGTTGGACAAACTAGCTCAATGTCTTCAAGCATTACTTACTCCAGCGACTTCCTCATTCAATCATTATTTGTCAACTCCCAAACGAAATATCAGGTAAATCTTTTTAAATTCCATTTATTCTATCTTAAATTGATTTTAGACCATCAGTCTTTCGTAGAGGTTCGGCTGTTGATGACTCGTTTGATCTAGAAACTAATGCATCTGATAATAATTTTGATGATGATCTACTTACTCAAGAGTTATCTTCAATGAATATTCATAAAGGAGCAAATAAAGATAGGTTAAGTTTTAATATATCTTTTAAATACTTTTCATGTTGACGGTCAGTAAATACAAAATGATTTTATATTTGAGGTGACTTTTTTAATCAAATATTTTTTAAAGGAAGCATTTTAATTTGGAAACACATGTTTCTGATTGCTTTTGTGTTTTCTGTGTTAGTCGAGTATCAAACTGGGCAATGGCATTGGAATTGGATCGTCTAACATTATTGTTCCGGCGTAATACTCCAACACAATTTCAACTTTTCAAGGATACATTATACAACAACTACATTCATAAAGTAATTTTAAAAAATTAAAATTATTGTAATTTTTGTAGGTTCAATCACTGCGTCAAATTTTGCTAACAAGTCTTAATGAAAATTCAAACCAGTCAACTAATCCGTTTAAAATGCCGAGAGATTTTGGTATGTTTTGTTAGAATACTAACTGCGCTACAAAACTTTCTAACAATTTCTAACATATTATTTCCTAAATATAAATATAATGCAATATAAATTTGATTTTTCTAGCAACAAAATGTGTCATTGAAGATAACCCTTTTGTAACACCAAAAAGGCGAGGAAGAACCCCAACAAGAACTTGCACAGATATAAAGGTTTTCCCAGTTAACTTTATGATATATCTTACAATATTTTCAGAAGGAAAAGGAAAATCATTCGGTACAAAGGTCGGTGAATAGTGCTCACAAACGCAAAGAAGTCAAAACACCCGTTTTGAATGGAATTATAAACTTTGATCAAACGGAGGATTCATTACCAGTTATAAAACCAAATGATAATGAAGTAAATATAATTTTAAACCTTATTTACAAATTTAATTAATTTTAAGCATATTCCACCTTTAATAATTAATTATTTGTTTCGAGCAATTTGTCAGAGTTTTGTGGAGAGATCAGAAGAAATGCTTTGGGAAAGAAATGTTTTGGAGGACAAGAATATTTTGGATGAAGCAATGAATGTTTGTCTTTTTTTATTGCTAATTTAGAAAAAAATTAGCAAAATAATCTGAAATTATTATTAGATATTTTTTACATATTTTCAGCTTTTCAAACAGTCAAGTTGTAAAATAACAAATCGTGCAATTTGGCTTTTGCTTAGGCATTTTACTCGTGTTCAATTAAATGGTGATAAGTTTTTATCTACGAATTGTAGCCCAACCAAGATTAATGCAGCTCGCAACGATCTCATTGATTATGGAAATTTATTTTTCAGGTTAATATTTTTTTTAATTTCTATTATCAATTATATTTAGGGAATGGCGTCAGAGATGTGCACATTTTTTAATTAGAAATTGTTATTCAAGATTTATGAGAGCTTATGCCTATAACAATATGCCACATGAATATCCTTGGACAATGGCCTTTTATCATGTTGAATCTATGGCTCCGTCAATGCGCCAATTGGCAAGAACACTTTTACTTCGCAAAAAGACGCATAAAATTAAATCAAATAAAGACATTAATCAACAACAAGAAGTTCTTGATTCGAATGATCCTGCTCCCACACACAATTTTACTTTTAGAGATACTGATCACTTCAAAAGTTTGATTGAACGATTACCTCCAGGTATTAAAATAAATGTTTTGTAATTTCCTTCAAATTCCAATTTACCTTAGAAATCACGTTTGTGAATATTTCACTTGATGAAGAAAATGTTTTATGGATGACACGTTGTCACGCATCAGTTGAACCTGTTATTATTCGACTTAGTAAACTAGAAAGGGTTATTTTCTTATATAAAAAGCTGATTAGTATATTTTAATTTTCAGGATGATCCTATGCTTGCAAAAATGTCAGAAATTTTAGAATCTAGTGATTTATCTGTTAGAAAATCTATGAATATACCTCAGGAGTCTGATGAAAAAAATGAGAACGGGGAAGGTAAAATGCTTGACAATGAGATTGAAAGAGATAAAGAACATTTACATATTAAACTTCCTGAAAAGAAGTCAAATGAACAAGATTTACAAAAAGCTAAAGCATTTTGGGGTGAGAGGAAAAGGCTTGATGAGCAATTAAAAGTGGGCTTATTTTTTTATTTTTTAAATGAAAAATTTAAAGGTGTTTATTGGAGATTTGCAACATAAATGGCTTGGTGCTGCTGCCCCGCTTCTTTTACCTCCAGCAGTTGTTCTTGAAGATAACGAAAGAGTTGTTACAAGATTAATGGGCCTTGGAGTTTTTTCTATCCCAACTTTAACGGTGATTTTTTAAATTATCTTTCTTTTAATCTCTTTATTTCTAGCTTCTTCTTCAACTTTATCACCATATAAGCGAAAATGAGTGGATCCGATTGTCTAAACTTTTGAGAGATAACGAAACACAAAGTAATCGTGACATTGCACCCACTACAATGTCACGTATCGCTCAAATTATAAAACAAGGAAGTATAAAATCATCAAGGAAGTGTTATACATTACTTGTTGTGCCTCCTCAATTAAGTCATCTTCCGTGGGAGTGTTTGCCAATTTTTGAACGAAGTCCTTATGTTATGCGTCTTCCTTCATTTCATATCTTTGAATATCTTTGTACCTTAGAACAAGTAATTTTGATTTCCTTTTAAATTTAAATATTTGAAAAATAAGGAGATAAAAGAATTACCTAAAATGGTTAATGGCAGAAAATCTTTTTATATTCTTAATCCATCTGGAGATTTATCTAACACTCAAAAAAGAATTACTGATTTTGTCGGACAATTTAATTGGCCCGGTCTTGTTGGTGAAGTACCGACACGTGAGTCATTTCAATAATTTTTCTTATTTTTTTATAGATATTTTGCTTTATGCTAATTTTAGTAATAATTTCTAAAAATTATTAATATAGGTGACCAAATTCGATTGGCGCTGACTGAGAGCGAACTTTTCTTGTTAGTTTTTGTATTTTTATTTCAAAATAAATTTTAATTTTCAATAGATATATTGGCCATGGAAGTGGTGGTCGTTATTGGCGCTCCACAGTTCGTGAAACTGATTGTAATGCTGTTTCTATACTTATGGGTTGTTCTAGTATTAAAATTTATGATGAAGGTCCAGGATTTGATGGTCGATCTTCACTTTATGAATATTTAATTGCGCGTTGTCCTTGTGTTGTTGGATGTCTTTGGATGGTGACTGATGGAGAAATTGATAGTTTGTGATAAAAAATTACAGAATTTAATTTGTCATTTTTTAGGATTTTTTATGGCATTAATGGAATATTGTTTTATGGAATCTTCTCCAAAAAATGATTCAAAATCAAAAAATAAAAAAATGGTTAACTCGAAAAGGTTTAATTTTTAATATTTAATTATTTTATTTATTTTAGTCAACACAATGCTATACAACGAACTCAAAATAACATCAAAACAGAATCAATTAAATTATTTACTGAAGCAATAGTTAAAGCAAGACTTTCATGTAAATTACCATATCTGACAGGTGCTTCTGTTGTTGCTTATGGATTACCTGTTGCCGCTGCAATGGATGCTTTATTAAAATTGAATGTTTAGCTTATAAAAATTTAAAAACAGTCCAGTACTTTTTTTCTCTAATCATTCTTTTATTTAAAGCTGATTCATTTTTTCCATTTTAAATTTGATTTAATTACTTATTTTTTGGTTTATTTTTCAAAAATCTTTATCTCATTGCCAATAATTTATTTCTTTTTTTTCAAAATTATTTTAAATTACCAAAAATCATTCAAAAATGACATGTATCTCATTTAAATATTTTCCGTGATCTTTCAAAAAATTAATTGCTTTCATTTATTGTATTTTATCAATGATAAAATTTAAAACAGTTTAATTAGAAAATTTTAAATTATTATTTTTAACATTTGCTATTTTTTAAATTCGCCTTTTACATTATTTTTATGTTTTGTGTTAGTTTTCTATGCCCCTAGAAGTTCGAAATCAAAGCAAAGTTTTCGAATTATTTTTGTTGAAACGTATTGATCGCGATTGGATTAATCACAAACTTCCTGCGGTAAAAAAGTTTATGATCTTTTTTGATTCCTACATATTACCTCTAATCACAAGCTTGTTACTAATTAATTAACATTTTAAAGGACGATATTCCAATACCACCAAAAGAAGTACCAGAACAAGACAGAGAATTAAATTTCCTTTTGGAAGCTAACGAAACTAATTGGCAAGATCAACGGCCTCCAAATTTTTGTTTTGATCATCGTCATTAAATTATTTAAAGAATAATAAAAAAATATTAGTAATGTTAACACGTAAAGAATTAATTGCAATGAGACTTTATGAATTTTTAACTTCTAATTCTGAAAAGGTTTTGAATTGGTAAAGAAGAATTATTTTTTAAAAATTATTTTAAAGTTAAATGAAACAACAAAAGCCCGAATTTCCAATAAAGAAACTCGTGATAGTTTAATAGATTCTTTAGTTGATGGAACTGTCTTTTCTATTTTGGAATCCCTTAGTGATTTACAGGATTTAAAAGAAAAGTGATCTTTTTTTGTTTTTTTTGGGAAAATATTTTTTTAATTTTAAAGAGAATTTTGGGAACAAAGAGAAAGCAAAATTAAACAATTACGCGAATCTGGAAATTTTACAGATCAAAAAAAGCGAGAAATAGATAAAGGAATATTGGAAGGAATTGATGAAGTATATTTAATATAATTTTGTTTAAAAATATTCTAAATTTTTATAAAAGACAGTTCGAGAACAACAAAATATGCTTATTTGTGCAGGCCTTCCCCAACCTTTATTTAAACAAAGTTTAGATTCTGAGGAATTACGTTTACAAATGTTTATTATTCAGTTTATACTTACATTGAGGGATATTTATGAAGATCAACAAAAATAATAAATTCGTGATTGGTGGGTGGGTGGGGGGGTGAATTGTTTTGATTATTTGAAATAAATTGAATAAATTCTATAGAAATTAATTAAATTATTTTTTTTGGATTTGTAATTTTGGTGTATTTTTGTTTAAAAAAGTTGTTTTTTTAATTTTCTTGTTAAAATTAAAAAGTTTTTCTTTAAACTTTTGCGCGGTCAATTTTGGGGCTCAAAAATTGATCTCTCATTGCCATAAATAGTGAGAAAAATTTTTTGTTGTAAATTTCCCTTTACTTTTTTTTATTTCCATTCTCGATGTTGTCATTTCATTGATTTTGAAAATGAATAAATTTGAGGACATAAAAAAATAAAAAGAATAAAATATAGAAGAAATTAAAATTTAAAGAAAATTAAAATAAACATTCTGTTTTATTTTCTTAGAAAGTTAAAAATATCGAGAATTAATTTAAATAAAAAATTATGAAGTTAAAAAATGAAAATTTTATTTTTAGGGTAACAAAATAATTAAATGCTAAATTAATTTTTAATTATTTTTAATTAAGGAATTTTTAAATTAATTTTATAAAAAAATAATATTGTCCCTTTTTTTATTTTATTATTCTAAATATTTTAAACAAAATGATTTATTAAGTCTTGAAATTAATTTAGAAAAAGAAGATGTGAAAAATAAAAAAAAATTTTTTAATTTAATTCTTAAGCTCTTATTTTTTGTTTAGACAAAAAAACACTCAAAATTAAATAAACATTTAATAAGTTCAAAAATCATTCAAACAAAAAACTTTCCATTTTTGTTTCTTTTGTAAACTTCAGCATTTAAAAAGACAAAAAAATATTTTTTATTAAGTAGTGTGTTTGTTGATTTAACAACTCCACAATTTTGCAATAAATTTATTTAAATAAATATTTTTTTTAATATTATAAAAATCTTTCGAAAAATATTAATTTTGTAAAAATAAAATAAATAAATATTTAATATTTTAAATTTTAATTTTTTATAAAGTTTAAAGCAATCCCTCTATTTAATAAACTTTTTCACAATCTCTCCATTAAATTTTAAATAAAAAATATTTTTAATTTAAAAATAAAATGACGCATTCTTAATTACTTTTTTTAAATTAATTAATTTTTTTTTAATTTCCCCAAAAATCATTTCAAGATTAAAAAGCGGGACGAGGCCAAAAAAGGGAGGAGGAGAAAGGCGAAAAGAAGAAGATGATGATCGTTAAATAAATTTTTGTTTAAATTTTGCGCATTAAAATGTTCATTTTAAAGGAGAAGAGGATTGGTTTTCGAATTTTAAATTTTTCATATGTTTAGATAGTCAGCCGGACAGTTTTTTAAATTTTTTTTAAATTAAAAATCAAATTAGTTTTTATTTTTCTTTAAAGGTAATTAATTATTAATTATTTTTATATAACTTTTTTAGCCTAAAATTATTTTAAAATTTATTTATTTTTATTTAATTTTAAAAATGGCTCTTAAGTGTAAAGCATATAGCTATTTATTTCCTAAGGCAGTAGGCGGCGTGGTGTAATGGATGACACCTTAGTCCGGTCTACTGAAGATGCTAGTTCGCTCCCAGCCGCCGAATACCCCTTTACACTAGCTAAAAAAGAGAAATAGCCAAACAAACTGCTAGAATTTTTTCCAAAAAAATAATATACCTTTAATTAATTCTTCAAAATTAAATAAAGTAATTTAATTTTTAGTTTAAAAAATGTCAAATAAATGGATTCCAAAAGATGGAGTTATTATAAAAACTCCACAACAACCAACAACAATAATTCCAACTCAAAATGGAATAAATAAAATAAAAACAAAAAAAGAAAAAATTAAAGAAGAAAATATATTTTCTGTTTGGTTTAGTTCTTGTTTTAAACGACGAAATAATAAAACAAAATTTGGAGGAGCAAAACAAAGAACAAGGACAAGAAGTAGAAGTTGTTCTGTTAATAGAAAACAATTTGAAGGGTAAAATTAAATTAATTTTTAAATTAATATTATTAGTATTTGAATAATATAAGGGAGAGAAAGATTATTTAGGTTAGTTCCAAGGTAATCTTCCTAATTTTTCAAGGGAACCTCGGACCCACATCTTCACTTTCATTACATATCTAAGTTAATTTTGTATATCCATCTTTAAAAGATATGTAAATTTAGTAATTGGTGGGAGAAACTAAGAAAAAATGGGGAAACTAGGAAGAGGAGGGGGGAGGAAGAGACCCGGGAAAATAAAATCTTTAAAAAAATAATTTTTCAGAGCATTTTGTGAACATGTTTGGGATTTGAGACAATTATGTTTATTCTTTCGAGATTCTAATATAAATGTAAAACAACCACAAAAAAGTTTAGGCTTAACTTGGGAATTTGCAAAAGCCCAACTTTTACTGAAAGGAAGGAATGTTTTGCCTAAACCGAGAGAAATGGGGAAGTGGGAATTGTTGTTAAAACAATTTTGGAATTTACTTTGGGTATTGTTAATTGGGGCTAGTTGTTTGTCTTTATTACAATTCTTTTTGGATACAAGGTGCTTTGAAATAGGGTAGCACCCCCGCCCCTTCGGGGCGGGATCGACGGGGATCGGGGTTTGCTGAAGTAGAGCCTTTAGGGTTAGGGTTGGAGTTTCGAAGGACGGGGTTCTACCTTAATTTGAAATAGGTAATTAAATAAATATTGTATTTTCTTTTAAAATAATCTTCGGACATTATTCTCCTAATGGGGCATTATTTTAATTGAAAACACTGAATATTAAATTATAAAAAATATTACTATTTCTTTAATAAATAGTCGAAATATTTTAAAAATAAAGTAAAAACTTGTTGAAAAATTTAAAATATTTTTGGGAAAAAGGAGAGAAAAATGAAATTTAAAAATTATTATTTCTAGTGAATTAATTAATTTATGGATTACTTTAATTTTGTTTGGAATGATTTTTGTTATGTGTTTAGTTAGTTGGTTTCAAGAAATGCGTGCAAGACAAGTATTTATTTAAATTAGAATTTAAATAATAGATTAAAAAGGTTGTTCATGGCTTTCAACGTCTTCTTCCCCAATGTAGTCAAGTAATTAGGGAAGGAAAGGAAAGTAGTATATCTGCACCAGATCTGGTAGTTGGGGATGTTGTACATATTAAATCGGGGGAGAGAGTACCTGCTGATTTAAGGTAAAAATAAATAAATAATTAATTTTAATAAAATATTTCAAAAAAGATTATTGCATTGTATTCAACTTCGTTTGGAAGCTTCTTCAATTACTGGAGAATCAGAACCTGTAGAATATCAATCAGAAGAGGTCTCTGAACGTTTTAGTGTTTTTGAAGCTAGAAATGTTGCTTTTAATGGATCTTTATGTGTTGAAGGAGAAGGGTTTGGAGTTGGTTGGTTTTAAATTTTAAATATTTTTCTAAATTAAATTTTAAATATTTCTAATTTTTAAGAAAAAATTTCTAAAATTAAAAAAATATTTTCACAGTTTTAATAAAAAGAATAATTTTAATATAAAATTATTTTTAGAGTCAAAATAGAAAATAAAAAGGTTTTCTTTCTGCCCATGTAGTATAGTGGTTAGTACTTCTCGTTGTGGCCGAGACGACGTAGGTTCGATTCCTGCCATGGGCATTCTTTTTTAATTTTATTTATTTAATGAAAAAAAGTTTTTTTCCTAAATTTTTTCTAATTAAAATAGTTGTGTAAAATTTTTTAAATATTTTTTTGAATTTTATTTTGAAAAACTTTATTTAAAAATATTTTTCTCCAACAGTTATTAGAGTTGGAGAGAATACAGTAATTGGCCAAACAGCTAAATTAACAACCGGACAAGAACCTAATGGCTCGAGATTAGAGGCACAAATAAGAAAATATGTTAAATTTCTTATAATAATGGCTTGCTCTGTTGCATCTATAATATTTATATTTGGGGGATTTGTCCATCATTGGAAAGATGTTACACATTTATTGGCAAATGGATTTCTTGTTTGTGCTATTGGAATGGTAGAAAAAATAATTTAAAAATTTTTTAAAAATATTTAAAGGTTCCTTGTGGATTACCAGCAACTGTTACTTCAATTTTAACACTTGTAGCAAGGCGTTTGGCAAATCGAAATGTTTATGTAAAAAGATTGGATATTTGTGAGGCTTTGGGGCAGGTGAGTATTATTGCCTCTGATAAAACTGGAACGTTGACGAGAAATGAAATGACAGTTACTGGACTTTGGAATTTTGATGGGTTTATAAATGGTAAATATTTTATTTAAAAGAAATCACCCTGAATTCTGATCTAAAAAATTTTTTAAATTTAAAATATGGCAATGAGGATAAATTATTAGTTGATAAAAGTTGTTTTTATTTATCGAAAACCCCTATTTATACATATATTTAATTTTTTAATTGATTTCCAAAAATTCTATTTATCTTTTTAATTTAAAGGCTATCCACAAAGT